TTAAATAAACATAACTATATATAAAATTACATCTAAACGTATGTACGTTTCGTTTCAAAGACGGAAGGACAGTAAATTTTGAAGACTTTTCCTTGGTTTTCCTCCGCTTTAATCTCCACAACCGGAAATGGACGAGCATCCTTGCGTCAAATGCGGACTACTTGAGTAACGAATGTGAATACTTTTGATATTTTTCCAAGGCTGGAGAGGTTTTGTCCAAGAAGAGGAATTGTCTAAACCCCAACACACTTAAAAGAAATCATTTTCTCAATAAAAATCTATTGTAATCCTTTCCTTCATCCACCCCAAACTGCAGTGTTTACTGCAGTTTGCTTACTTTATTTATTACACTCCCTCGAGTCACTCCACCATAAGCACTGCACTCAACACAGTCATTTTTGCTGTCACTATCCATTTTTTGAATAATTAATTAATTTTGTGTGTGTGACAGTTGTCTCTGTACAAAATGCAGACAGAGTAAGATACACGTTTTATTTCATACCCAGGCAATGGACAAATGTTTGCACAGATCTCTTTATTATTGCAAATGAAAGGTATACAGAGACATTAACAGTGAGAAGAAGAAGATAAATAAAACAGAGCGGGAGGGGCAGGTCATTGGTTCAGAATGATTTAATTTGCCTGCTATTTCTATACACAGTCGCTAGGTGTCACTATTGAGCAATGCTGAATGAAGCTTCGAGTATTGAGCCTTTCCATGGCTGCGAGGTCTCAGGGTCTCAGTGGTTCAGGAAGCCTCATCTTGCCATCACTACAAGAAACGGTCAATCATCTCCAAGGTAGGCTACTGTAATTATCATGACATCTGGCATGGGCGCAGCGCTTCTCCAAACCTAATCAAACACACCTGAACAAGCTAATCAAGGTCTTGAAATTAGGCTACGAAAGTTAGAGGCAGGTTTTCATCAGGCAGGTTAGCCAGACTTCATTTTATCTTAAAAAAAGCGTTTTCAAATAGCTTTTGTACAGCGATTTATTTGCGGGATTTAGCAGCACATGTTTGCTTTGTAGTTTTGTGTTCCTCACTGTCTTTCCTGACTGACTAATTCAGCGCGTTTTCCAGCAGAGCTCATTGTGAGTTCACAGGTCGAGAGGATGACCGCGTTGACCGATTGCTTGATTATATGGGGTCTTGTCATTGCAATCAAAAAAATGTGGTTATAATGGAAGTCAATGGGGCAAAAACAGTCACAAACAGAAAATGAGGGAGGAAAAAGTTATAATCTGATGCTGCTCAAACTTGCAATGCATCAAAACCAATGTTGTTTCTAATCTTTGACATGTCCAAGACTGTGATGAAAGGTAAATAAAACCTTGTATTGGACATGTCAACGATTAGAAATCCAGTCCACATTTACGTTTTATATTGAAAATAAGTCATTTTGTGGCCCCCCCAAACACAAAGTTATTGCCAAATTAAGACTAATTAATACCCTGTAGTGGCTAAAAACATCCCCACCAACAGCATATATTTTAATTTTATCAGCATTACTCACCGTAGTGGGTGTGGTAGGTAATGGTACTCTGTCTTTGGAACTGATTGACACAATTTGGTGATGCATGGTAGATTTGAGCTTCTTTGTTTTGTAGTAGATAAAATGTGTGTGTTATGTATTAAAGTTTGAGACTCGTATTGCAAAACCAGTTATTTAAAACTGCTGAAACTATCACAGCACTCCCAGATCTCCCCTATCAAAATCTCTTGAATCCTCTTCTGTAGTGTCCAGTGAAGCTGACGGCCATGCCATCCCGTTGAGGATATAGCCTATACTTTTGATAGACTTCTCTAAAGCAAGAACAGAAGAAATGTTTGTGTTACTTTATCTCACAATTCTGAGAAAAATGGGTCAAATGTGAGTCAACTAGGCTTTCTTTTTTTTTTCTTTTTTTTTGGGCGGAAACATAGCCTGGCAAGACCTACTTCAAGTTGTTAGGACTGGGAACTCATTTTCGAGAGGTGGGATAAACGGTTGTCTTTAAATATCCCTCTGCACACAATAGGATAGCGCTGCAACCAACCAGAGCAATGAACTGCTATGGCTGAGTGAGTCCCATGCGTTTTCCCACCAGCGGAGCATGTTAAACTCTTCCCGTATCCGCTCGTCAAAATTACAAACAGATCTTCATTTATGAATGACTTAAGTGACGTTCTCTTAACTCCAAGTCCTCCAGAGTCCCAGTCAAAGGCGATTCGAAAGACCATTGTTCGCCAGTAGCATCTTGTTTGTTTTCAAGTAGCCGGGAAATCACCTATGGAAATCACGGCGCAGAACCGTCATAACTCTACCGTCATTGCTAAGCCCGCCCACCAACTCTATACATGATGTGACTAGCCTGACCAGAGTTGGATTTTTCCACTTCGAAAGTCAACAGAGTCGCTAGACTCCTCTGCCAGCAAAATAATATTTTGCTGCTGCTAGGGTGCATCTAGATTTCTAGGTTAGAGGAAACAAGCTTTTTGTACCCAGGTGGCGCCCATGGGTGTCAACTTGTCTATATTAATCCATGCTGTGAAGCCTGCCGCCGAGCCTCCCGAACCTCCATTGAAGCTTGTTGCCGAGCCTCCCGAGCCTCCAGGGAAGCCTGCCGCCGAGCCTCTGGTGAAGCCTGCTTTCGAGCAGCCCGAGCCTCCGGTAAATCCAGCTGCCGAGCTGCTTGAGCCTCTGGTGAAGCCTGCCGTAGAGCAGCTTGAACCTCCGGTGAAGCCTGCCACCGAGCCTCCGGTAAATCCTGCTGCCGAGCCGCCCCAGAGCCTCCGGTGAAGCCTGCCACCGAGCCTCCGGTAAATCCTGCTGCCGAGCCGCCCAGAGCCTCCTGTGAAGCCTGCCACCGAGCCTCCGGTAAATCCTGCTGCCGAGCCGCCCCAGAGCCTCCTGTGAAGCCTGCCACCGAGCCTCCGGTAAATCCTGCTGCCGAGCTGCTTGAGCCTCCAGTGAAGCCTGCCGCCGAGCCTCCGGTAAATCCTGCTGCCGAGCCGCCCCAGAGCCTCCTGTGAAGCCTGCCACCGAGCCTCCGGTAAATCCAGCTGCCGAGCTGCTTGAGCCTCCAGTGAAGCCTGCCGTAGAGCAGCTTGAACCTCCGGTGAAGCCTGCCGCCGAGCCTCCGGTAAATCCTGCTGCCGAGCCGCCCGAGCCTCCTGTGAAGCCTGCTGTCGAGCAGCCCGACCCTCCGGTGAAGCCTGCCAATGAGCCTATGGTCAAGCCTGCTGTCGAGCAGAATCAGGTTCGCCCGAGCCTCCAGTGAAGTCTGCAGCCGAGCCACCTGAGAATCCAGCGAAGCCTGCCGCCTAATTTTCCCCATCTCAAAAAATCTATTTGCTTTGGAACAAGTAATATATTTATAAAACCAAAGATTGCCCGCTTAGTACGCCAAATGGATTATGTCGAATTGTCAATATTAACCCTAAAACCGTATTCTGGACAAATGTGGGCAAAATAGTTTTGATTTATTTTAAAATAAAAAATACTTACCTTGATCTGAGTGGTACAAGACTTGGCTAGACTTGGCTACTAAGTTTGCCTCCTGAACACACACAATTTTTTGACTCGATTTTACAATGTTAAGTGGGTGAAAAAAAAAAACCTCAATCTTGTATTTGGATCAAAAATGGACACCCATAGAAATGAATGGGAAAAACTGTAATTTAGAGCATTCTAAAATAAGCCAAAATAAGACGCCAGGTGACGGCAAAGTCACTTCATCTTTAGGTTTTAGCTCTAAGAACTTATTGGAATGATATTTTAATGTAGTTAAAACATTTTTTTAAATAAAACTACATAGTAATTCATTTACATAGAAAATATGGTATTTTTTAAGTAAATAAATTAAAAATACCCCCCAAAATAAAAGAAAACACCATAAATGGATAGACAAAACTTTATCGAAGACAGTAATATAACATTTATAATTAATAAAAATAAGGATCACACCTGAGTCCCATGTGCCCACATTTGTCCACAATTACAGGATTAAGGGCTATAAGGTGAATACAGTTTGAGGGCTACAGTTATCTACATGAGAGCCAGTGGCAGATTCCTGAAGGACTGGCAGAGATGACTCTTCAGTTCTCTTCAGGTATGAGCGCTGACGGCCTGGAGCTTGGATTTGCGAAAGCGTCTAAACGGTTGTAAAATAGGCACTAAGATGATACATTAGTCAAATATTTGAAGTCTAAACTACATTTTCATTAAAAAAACCCACTTAAAACTACATTTCTTGACAACTGTAATATTTTTAAAAAATATTGTGGATTTGCTCCACCATCATGACAGGTGCCACAAGTGGAGTAAGGGACCAAGAGCGTGTACTAGTAACGGACCTCCCTCACCACAAAGAGTCACCCTGGTGAAGACAGAATGTCCATGGTGTGAACCAGATGATCAATACACCTGGAAGATGTGGACCAATTAATGATTCAAGTTTAGGAGAAATCTGCATTGTAGGTCTATATACAAGCTCACGTAATACAGGAATAGGCAAAGCAATTAAATAGGATCGCAACTTGAAATTTGGAAAAGGAACATTCCACATACAAACCCTCTGGCATTTTTTCAACGGTGCTACTTTGTGTGACAGCACATTTCTTTATTAAATCCAATCTGACTTGGTCGTTATTGATTCCATGTGTTGTCCTAACACTGATTTGAACCGATCACTTGCGGTCTCAGTGGTTGGGTATTAACACAGCATTTCTTTTAATGCTTGCGACATTTTCCTGACACAGGATAAACATGAACTGTAAAAGCAGTCAATCTTCTCTGATTGAGCAGAGGTTAAATCATCCTTACTATACAGAGAAGTAGTCTCTGGCATTGCAGGGGAACATGTTAACACAACCTTCCCTGATTAGACAGGGATGGGTTAAAAAAAATTCCTTTACTAATCGAAGGATGAAACACTTGTCGACACGGAGGACAACCACATGTACAGTTCTCCACAGACATGCATTTTTGTACCAAAACTCCAATCAAGCAGAAAGATTTAATTAAACAATATTTATTTGGTATTAAACAGTGAACATTCCATATGAATAAACGCACTGAAAAGATCTGTAAAAGAACTTCAGCATCGTGATCGTGACTTTCTTGGTGATCGTGACCGGGACCGTGACTTTCTTGGTGATCGTGACCGTGACTTTCTTGGTGACCGTGACCGGCATCGTGAACGTGACCCTGACTGATCATGACGATCATGGTCATTGTGGTTGCCGTGGTCACCATGGTCGTCGTGGTCATCATGGTCATCATGGTCATCGTGGTCACCCCACTTAGGGTTCCTTGGCGGTTCTGCTGCAGGATTTGGCGGCTCGGCCGCAGGCTTTGGCGGCTTAGCCACAGGCTTCACTGGAGGGATACAAATAATCATCTTTAGTCTGTCCTTTCAGTGGCATACAGCACAATTCAAATCATGAATAGCAAGTGTTTCAGAGTGAATTGCATTTTAAATATTCATCATCTGTATCCATTTAGTAAAACTATTCTGTGAAACCGTGCTATGTGTGCTAAATTGCAGTTATTTGTCATGGTGCAGTTTTGGGGCTTGGAAACTCTCCTGGCTTTGCTGTTATGAAGACAAAAAAAAAAAAAAAGTAACTGAAGGCTGAAGGTCTCATTTACGTTTTGAATAATATATATATATATATATATATATAGTTTAGCCTTTGTACTTCAAAGTCTCAGGTTTAGTTCAATGTGTTACTTGCAGTCTCACAGCAATTTTTTAAGTTCACTAGCAAAGTCCATTTGGGAGACCTCCAGCATTAATTGAAACTCACTGAAAACAGGTGGCACACATGCGGGCCCACAGGGAAATTGACAGCATTTATGTCCTCCAGCGCAGTCTCTATCGGAAGTACATCCTCGACTGGATGGCTCGACTGTCAGCGTCACCGGACACTGACCGGACTCTACAGAAGAGGATTGTTAAAAGGGACAAGGGAGTGTTGTAATGGTTTACAAGTCAGGGTTTTGAAATATAGGTTTCAAACTTGAAAATATGTAGATCTGCTTAAGAATAAATTCCATTTAAATCACCAAACAGTCAATCAGTCTTAAAGACAAAGAGTGCAACCTACCCCACTACTGGTGGGGTGCGCTTAATAGAAGCACAATGCAGATAGAAGACATGGACAGTTCATGTGTTTTTCATATATGTAACTATTGCAACTAAATGTACTGTAGCTACATGATCAAAAGAAGTCTTATTTTCAAAGCCACTTATTTATGCACTTCTAAAAGATCTCCTCACCTGCGACCTGTGTTGTGCACAAACATGCAGACAGGCACAATAAAACGACAATCAACGAGCAGTACACTCGAGTGGTCATCCTCGCGACCTGTGAACTCACAACGAGCTCTGCTGGAAAACGCACTGAATTAGTCAGTCAGGAAAGACAGTGAGAACTACAACGCAAACAAATACTGCTGCTGAATCACACAAAATAAATCGCGATATAAAAGTTTTCTGAAACTGCGTTTTTAAAGATACAAGGAAGTCTGGGTAACTCCCACCCTGATGAAACTCACCTGCCTGTAGCTTTCTAGTAGGCTAATCTTGAAGACCTGATTAGCTTGTTCAGGTGTGTTTGATTAGGTTTGGAGGAGCAGAGCACTTCGTTCACGCCAGATGTCGTAATAACCTTAATATTACTGTGATTAATAGCCTACCTTGACGTCTATTTGGCGCAAGTAGTGGTCATATAATGCCATTTTTGTACAAGCTAATATGAATGTTTAGGGTCTAAATGAAAACTTTGTAATATACTTTTATTAAACATTCTCATTAGTATTTTAAGAAAACACCATTTCACACAAACTTTTTAAAGGGACATTACAGTGTTGTGGTGGAAATCACACCAATACTGTGGGACAGCTACATTTTGTATAAAGAAAATATATTAATAGTGGTCTCACATTAAATATTTTAATGTATTTTAATGATTTTACTGGTGCTTAATTTAGGTATATTCAGAGTTACCAGTTAAGTCATGAATTTGAATGAGTGTATGAATGGGTGAATGTGAGGCAAAATGTAAAGCACTTTGGTGGCCATTTGGGTCTATGAAAGCGCTATATAAGTGCAGTCCATTTACCATTTCATGTTTTTAAACTGGATTTTCATTGTTGAAGTTAAAAAATATGTATGTGGGACAAGGAGAAAACAGTGATTTTGACACCTATAAGGATGTTGAAAAGTATGAGAAAAAAACCCCAAAAAAAAAACAATAGTATGGTGGTAAAAAGTTTTTAATGTGTCTTTATAGTTAGACAAAGAAAAAAGAATTTGTCCAAAAATGATATGTATTTTTTAAAAAATATGACCAAGGTACATTAAAATGCCCATAGTCTAAGAATCACTAACAGAAAATTCTATTATTTATTTTTATTCTATTATAGACTATTCTAATATGACTAAGAAATGGTTGTTTGAAAGTCTTCACCCTAGTAATTGATCAAGTTTATAGAATTTAAAATGTAAAGTTGATGTCTTTTGTGATGCAACATTCATCCACAAAAATAGCAATCAAAACATAGTTTATTGAAGATGAATCCTTTGAATTACATTTCTGTGTACAGAAATGAACAACGAAGATCAACAAAACTTACAGTGTTGGGCTGTAGCAAAATGGGGAATGCCTCAGAAGAGTTCACTTCAAATAAATAGAACATTTCACACAATAACGCCAGTGCTCTGAGAGAGAAATAAACACTCAGTGTGTGCTGAAGCCATGCACTTTGACTCATTTTCCATGTTTGTACTTTCTCATGTAGGATGCAATGGATGAGGAGATCTCAGAGGATTTCTTGTTCTGTCCAAAATATTCAAGAAACTGGCCATCAGGTCCCACCAGGTACATTATGATGGTGTGATCTACCTGCAATTACAATATTTGCATGCTGACTTCAGGCTTGTGAATTAAATTCATTAACATAAGGTAAGATAAACCAATTTTATTGTGTCAAGTTTATTACACAAGCCAAACAACATTATTAAGGGCGACCAAAAACTCACAATGTAGTCGTTGTCTTCATCCTTTGGGCCCTGGCTGTAATACACTCTGTAGGCTCTGGACGCTTGCTCAACCTCGGCAGTTTCGCCTGTCAGACCGATCAGCTTTGGGGAAAACTCTGCATGTGAGATATCAAAAAGAATATAAATGATGAGGAAATCATTCCACGGCACATGGTGAGTGCAGAGTAATAAAGATCCCAGCTCACCTTTGACATACGCTGCCATTGCTTCGGGTGTGTCTCTATCAGGATCAATGGTGATGAGAATCGGGGTTAAGTCTGGAAGGGTTTTAATTTGATCTGTGACAGAAATGTAAGACACACAATTATAGTTCCTTGAAATGGGTCTTGTAATATTTTTCTTTAAAGGGGTGGTATAATGCCCTTTTCAGAAGATGTAAAACAAGTCTTGAGTGTGTATGTGAAGTTTTAGCTCAAAATACCCTCAGAAAAGAAATTAAGCTTTTTGATGAAAACATTCCAGGATTTTTCACCGTATAATGGACTTCAATGGGGTCCAAACGGTTCATGGTTCATTCAACGAAAAAAATGGCTCGAAAAAAAGATTCGTTCATTTTGATTAAACGGCCGATCGTTTCGCTAGATAAGACTCTTATTCATCATCTGGTGACTGGTGTCGTTTTAAAGCTGCACTGAAACTCTCATTTGGACTTTGAACCGTTTGGAGTCACGAACGCGCATCACAGAACAGAGCAAGCCGAGCATTTGTGCTTATAAAACTTAAACTTTTTTATTTATTTTTGAAATGGCCGCTCGTTTCGCTAGACAAGACCCTTATTCATCGTCTGGTGTCGTTTAAATCCCTTTGAAGCTGCACTGAAACTCTCATTTGGACCTCGAACCGTTTGGACCCCATTGAAGTCCATTATATGGAGAAAATCCTGGAATGTTTTCATCAAAAACCTTAATTTCTTTTCGACTGAAGAAAGAATGTCATGGACATCTTGGATGACATGATGGGTAGTGTTGGGTATCGAGAATCGAGTATCGATTGGAACCGAGACTAACTTTTCGTTTTTCCCGGAATCGTTCAAAAGTTAAAATTTCGATTCCTAGTTTCGATATTCACAGTCCGCCGAGCGGAAGAAGAAACCGCTGAACAACACCAACGAAGAAGCGTCTACCGTAAGTGTTGGCATAACCACGCGAGTCGAACATGAGTACCTTACGTCGGCGATCCAAAGTGTGGCTTCACTTTTCTAAAAATGCAGAATGCAGAATTTGTGACAAAAGGAGTATTTTTACAGAAGGATTATTTCCTTCAGAAAGGCCGTTGGTTAGCAAGGTTAGCTAAACTTTTTTGACCCTGCCTCTTAGAAGAATCGGAATCGAGAATCGTTAGGAACCGGAATCGAAACAAAGAATCGGAATCGGAATCAGAATCGTTCAAATTCAAACGATACCCAACCCTAATGATGGGTGAGTAAATTATCAGCAAAAGTTTTATTAAAGTGAACTACTCCTTTAAGTGTCCAAATTTTAGGGGACATAAAATACAACCCAGTTTTAAAGACATTTTAACATCATATTATGCAAATATCAAACCTGAGAGCTTTATAGTGTCAATACAAATCTAAACTGTGGCTTTACTATGTAGTAAAAAAAGATTAAGTGATACATTACCAATCTCATCAACGACCTCAATCATTTTCTCCAGTTCATCAGGACAGATGTCCGGACAGTGCGTGAAACCGAAATATATCAGCAGCCACTGGCCGAGGAAATCTTCGCTCTTGGTGGGTTTATTGTTGTGGTCGACAAGTGAGAATGGCCCTCCGAGAGCTGGTTTTCCAATTGACTTTGTTCTTTCTTTCTCAATCACTACAACAACAGAAAACACAATAATGATAAAGCTATCAATATGTTGTGGAGCATTGGCATAATATAAGGATGTGGTGTAGGTTAATCATTTATACATGCAAAGATCCGAGTCCTTACTTTCCTCTTTTTCTCTCTTGAAGTATTTCATCCCTAGAAGAAGACTTCCTCCCAGCGCAAATGTGATAGCAAGAGATTTCCATGTAACTGGCTGTGGAAAAGAGACATCAGCCCCATTCATGTGTCTGATCAAAACACACCCAATCATTGGTAATCCACAAACAATGTCAAACACGTCTGTGTCCAATTAAAAAAGGGAAAACATTTAGATTTCTGGGAAGGATCAGCACTGCTGTCTAACTTGTGCACCGAAGCAAAGTTTCTTTTGAATACCGTATACTGTAAAAGATATCAGTATATTTGCAATCAAAAATGTATATCAGATCATGAAATAAGGTTTATTACTGTAAATTTTAAGTTAAATATGTAAAACCAATAACGTGGCAACCACAGCTGCCGTTTTTTTACCGTAAAAATTATGGTTTTATACAACAATCTTTCATTTAGCAGTCCTGGGGCCTCATGTATAAAACTTTACGTACATTTCATCCAAAAAAAATTGTGTACGCACAAAAGATAGATTTTGCAAGATATGCACTATAAATGCCCTTACTAAAAATCATTTAGTATCCTTTTCCTTATTTTAGAATAAATATATGCAGAGTCGCATCATTATGGAAGCTTGTTTCCGCCACAAGAATAAAAAATGTTTTTAAAAATCTTAATATTTATGAAAAGTTTAAATCAAGAGATATGAACTTGCACTTGTTGTGCACTTGTTTAGCTTACTTAAGAGTCCAGACATGTTTACGCTAATTTATTTTTTATAAATCCTGATATGTGCGTGGATATTTGCGTACGCACATTTTCATACCTTTTTCTGTGCATTCGCAAGGTTTATACATCAGGCCCCTGATCTTTACATCTCGCAGTGAATGAGGCTTACACCAGTCTTCTTGTTGCTGGACTTGTCTCTGCTGGATGAGGGAGGCGGAGGCAGAGTGGACAGCGTCCGCGTGTTGAGAAGGGACACACATGGTCCTGTCCTACATGTCCTCAACTGAAGGAGAAAGTCACATACACATACAATAAAGGAACATGCTGGAGTTACACTACACTACATATGACCATCATTTATAAAACAGACACATTACAGACCAGTGGTTCTCAACCAGCGGCCCACTAGGGGGCCTCGGCAAACTTTGAAGGGGCCCGCAGGATGATTTAAAGACTTTGCTCACCAAAAATGTTGAATTCTGTCATTAATTACTCACCCTCATGCCGTTCCAAGCCCGTAAGACATTCGATCATATTCAAAACTCAAATGAAGATGTTTTTTGATGAAATCTGAGAGATTTCTGTTCGTCTATTCACAGTCTATGCATCTACCACTTTCAAGACCCAGAAAGGTAGTAAAGACATCGTAAAAAGTAATCCATGTGACGCCAGTGGTTTAACCTCAACTTTATGAAGTGACTCGAGTGCTGGTTTGTTTGTGGAAAAAAACAACTTTTACCTTTTTTTTTTTTTTTTTTACAACATCTGCTCTCGCATCAACACAACATGCATGCGTCGTGTATTAATTTTGTAAGCGTTTAAATTATGGGTTTCTTTTGCACAAACAATATATAAACTTTACAAAATTGAGGTTAACCAGTCTCATCACATAGATTAACGTTACTTTAATTATGTCTTAATAACATTACTATCTGGGTCTTGAAAGTGGTAGTTGTATATAGACTGTCAATAGAGAGTCAGAAATCTCAGAAATTTCATTTAAAATATCTTAAAGATAAACGAAAGTCGTACGGGTTTGGAACGACATGAGGATGAATAATATGACAGAATAAAAACGTTTGGGTGAACTAGGCTACCCCTTTAATATGGTTTAATTTTTATTATAAAACGGTTAGTTCCAATCCTTGATTCTGATTGGTCGATAGTGCTTTATTAATGATAAAAAACGTCTATGACCGCTTCACCCAACGGTTTTATTTATCACTGCACAACACTACAGTGCCTATGTTGTTTTTATTTGAGCTTTCAACTTCAATATATATAACGTTTCCAATGATCAGTACATACATACACATAAATACATACAGGATGATAGACAGCACTTTAATCACTCTAATTACCTGGCATGTGAAATATCAGGAGAATATTTTATCATTTGTGAATGACTGAACGAATAAAATTAACAATTTAAAAAAAAAAACAACAACAAAAAATATATGGTTATTCAAAGCACGGTAACCACAAATTAATCACGGTTTATACCATGGCATTTATAGTAAATCTGTGGTTATACAAATGGTAAATCAGTCAAAAAAAAACATGGTTCTGAGTGACCTACCAGTGTGTTGGTCTGTGACTGTGTTGATCTGGAGACACTGCAGAGACTCTGAACATTATAACATTTACTGACACAGACTGCTCTAAACATCTGACATCTTAAACTCTTTAACGTTAAGCTTGAAACTGCTATTAAACCCATAGTAGTGCTGACAGTTATTAACATCACGCTTCCTCAACGCGGAAGTGACTGTCGGTTTACACAACCTAACGGCGTACATACGTCGCATACAAATGGCTGACCCTGAATCAGCTGTTAATATGAAAAACAACGAAATGAATGGAGAGTGACAGCGATCCAACTGATCGGAGACCTGTTTGAGGATGTGTGACATAGAAACGCGGAGGTGACGTAAGAGGACTTCTTTGCTTCCATGGACGGAGAATACACGATATAAAGCCAAAAAGGGAAAAATACTTTAAAGATTACTGGTCAATTTTAACACAACATACCAAAAAAATAAATTATGGGAAGAATACAATAAAATAAGTAAGTTAAACAAAAGTAAAGTAAGTTAGGAGGTATCCAAATACATTGAATAACAGAGCTAGAGTGAAAACTTGCGCTTGTGAACATTTGAAAGATTATTTTACTATCGCTTATGCTCTCTACCAAATACTAAAATTATGGTGATATTATTATTTTGTTGTTATTGTTTTTAATATTACTATTAAACTCATTATTATCATTGTTATTTATTTATTTTGAAATTCCTGTGTCGCCCTATGGTGTCGCCACTAGAGGCCACCATAGCATGCGTTTTAATCTTGACGTCATATTCATGCGACATTGGAATGAACACATGCACCATGCGTGTGAAAAATAGAGGTGCATGAATTAAATACATATACTTAATAAAAGAACCGTATTGTTCTCGAGAAGTCGAAAACATCGTTTTTTGTCATGGCTGGACACACGCTGGTATTTAAATCAAAGTAAGTGTAGTTTATCGTCTGTCCTGTGACTGTTCTCAATATTCGAAATGTGCTGTGACAAGTTGAGATTACTGTTAACCGTACCTTTTTTTGACAACTAAGTTAGTTTATTATAATCTCATTTGTTTCTTTAGTTATGCAGCCTCCAGTAAAATAGAGCCGTTCTATAAGGGAGGCAAAGTACAGGTATGTCCATATTTATTGTAACAGTTAGTTTTGGTAACACTTTATTTACTGTGTCTTTGTTACATATTTAACATGTAGTTACTATAGTAACTGATAACTATAAATTGTGCATTCATGCAACTTACCGCAAACCAAACCCTATACTAAACATAAGTTGTTATCTAATATAATTAAGTACTTAGGCTGTATGTAAATGTAAATGTGTAATTACATTGCAACAAAGACACCTTAAAATAAAGGGTAAACTTTTTAAAATAATCATATTATTGGACTAGTATTCCAGCTATTATACCCTCACGGTTGACTTATATCTCCATCCAGATAAGTCGTGATGAACAGCACATCTTCTGCACATGTGGATCAAGAGTCAACATTTTGCAGATCAATACAGGGAAAATCATACATAGTATTGAGCAGGTCAGTATCGCATGTTATGATGTTCATCTGCACTATTTTGTGGTGGAAATTACATTTTAAGCTTTTTTTTTTTAATAACTGACTGTATTGCCTCTTTCTAAGGTTAAATAATTTTCTCAACACAAATAGTGAAATTATTTATGCTTGTATAATGTGAGTTGCCTAAAACCCATCTTTAAATCTCTTCATCAGTAGCACTTGCATATGCCAGACTTTACCATTTTATTTCTGCACTGTAAAAATGATTGTTGGTTTAACTTAAAGTAAGTAGTCTGGTTGCCATACATTTTTCAGTTAGTTGAAACTACAAAAAAGTTTATACAAAGAAAGAAAGAGATTGATTAAAAATATTATGCTATTTAAACATTGCATTAGTGATTAAATTGATTTGACGAAAAATAAAAGCTGTTAAATCATGATGTAAATCTCTATATTCTGACGATTTTGACAGAATCGTGTAACATTGGCCTGATATCTATAACATTTTATTACTAATAATACTGTAAAACATTGACAACAAAATGAAAAAAATATTTTTGAACCTGCTTTATAAAATCTTTAGATCAAAGATCTGGAAAATTATTGTAAAAATGACTGCATAATGGCTTTTTGCTTTCTCTGAGCAGGATGATCAGGAGGACATCACCTCGTTCTCTCTCAGTCCTGATGATGAGGTGAGCTCATTCAGTGATCTGTTATTGGACTGTCTGGAGTTTCAGGATGTCTGAGACTGAGCTGGCGGCTGTTGTTTCTCTGCAGATGCTGGTGACAGCCAGCAGGGCTTTGCTCTTGAAGCAGTGGGACTGGAAGCAGGACAAGTGCACTCGGTCGTGGAGGGCCATCCACAATGTGCCTGTGGCCAGCATGACCTTTGACTGCACCTCCACCCTGCTGGCGACAGGTCAGACATAAGCCAGATGTTTGATGAGTAGCACTACACGCCAGTTTTAATGTCAGCTGCAGTTGTGCTCAAAAGTTTACACACAGAAAATGTGAATAATTTACAAACAAAATAAGAGGAGACATACAAAATGCATAATATTTTTTGTTTAGTACCATCCTAAAAAATATAATTTACATGAAGGATATATATATATATATATATATATATATATATATATGAAGAGTTCAGATGCAAAAGCCTCTAAGTGCCATTTGAAATTTTCTTCTAAAATGATCATTTTTATCAAGCTTGTATATTAAAGTTCAGTATTTTCACTTAAATGGCAATGAAGATTATCTATTAATTGTCATTTAAGTGAAATTACTGAACTTAAATATACAAGCTTGATAAAAATGGTCATTTTAGAAGAAAATTTCAAATGGCATTTAGAGGCTTTTGCATCTGAACTCTTCATATATATATATATATATATATATATATTAGGGCTGTGCAAAAGTTAATTGCGATTAATCGCATCCAAAATAAAAGTCTGTTTTACATAATATATTTGAGTGTGCTGTATATAATTATTTTGTATATATAAATACCTATGCATGTATATATTTAAGAATTATTTGCGCTTAAATTCTGTATATATATATAAATACATAATCTATATTATATAAATATAAATATTTTATATAGGAATAACACATTTTCTTAAACATATACATGCATGTGTGTGTATTTATATATACAAAATAATTATATACAGCACACACAAATATACTATGTAAACACAGACTTTTATTTTGGATGCGATTAATCGCAATTAACTTTTGCACAGCCCTAATATATATATATATATATATATATATATATATATATATATATATAAAGGTTTATTTGGTTACTAAACATGGAACCGAATGTATGTACAGCAAATTCACCTAGAGATTGGCATGGGGTACTTTCCATAAGATCATCTTTCAATGCAAATCAAACCAGCTATTAGGCTAACTGAAGTAAAACCGTGCCAATCTCTAGGTGTGGTGGAAGGTGTGTGATGATGTGGGTCTATTTTAATTCCAAAGGCCAAGGGAACTTTATCAGGATGCATATTATCCTGGATCCATGAAATAACTGGCTTTTATAAATAAAAATCTGCCTGACTCTATGGGAATTTAACATAGGGGTGCCCTGACTTATGCACCCTGTATTTTAACGAAGAACATTTATTTATTCATGATACATTATTCATTCGCAAAGAAAATTGGTGTCCTTAAAAGGTTTGATTTTTCCAAATTTTTTAAATTAAGGCATTAAGATCAATATCCAAAAGATTATTTTTTTATTCCTCTTTTTAGGCAACTTTAGCATGGGTGTCCAAACTTATTCACATCACTGTATACCTCTGCACTTGACAACAAATATTTATTACTTGTGTAATTAAATTTGTTACCTTCTCACTTGTGTAAACAATTATACATAAACTTATCTTGGACAATTTTTCTTAAAAATCCAAATGGAAAGGATTTAAAACTGTTTTTTTTAAGTAATAAATGAAATTGCTCCTCTTAAAGGAGTAGTTCACTTTTTTTTACTTTTGCTGATAATTTACTCACCCCCATGTCATCCAAGATGTCCATGTCAATCTTTCTTCAGTCGAAAAGAAATTAAGGTTTTTGATGAAAACATTCCAGGATTTTTCTCCATATAATGGACTTCAATGGGGTCCAAACGGTTCAAGGTCCAAATGAGAGTTTCAGTGCAAACTACAAACTGTTCAAAGGGTTTTAAACGATTCCAGGCGATGAATAAGGGTCTTATCAAGCGAAACGATTGGTCATTTAACAAAAAATAACAAAGTTTTAAGTTTTATACGCTCAAATGCTTGCCTTGCGATGAGCTGATTTCTGCGATGAGTGTGTGTGACTCTCCTGTTTTAAAAGTTATCTAATTCTTTACTGTATTATATCATCAGTTTAAAAACATACCATTTGTGTACTCTTCAAGTGCACATTGAAAAGAGTTAAGGGCGCTTCTTTTTCACAAAGGTAATGAATACGTGTTGTGTTTGTAGGAGGTTGTGACGGCACCATCAAGCTGTGGGATGTTGTGAAGCAGTACTGCACACACAATCTGAAAGGGTCGTCTGGTGTTGTACAGTAAGTACTGAAGAAACTCAGCTTCCAAAATCTCTCATTTATCCTTTAATAGACCTTATAATGCCTTTCTGCAATGCCATGTCTCCCTCTCAGTTTGGTGGAGTTTCATCCGGACATCAGCCGGCTGCAGCTCTTCTCTTCCTCCGCGGACTGCGGGATCCGGATCTGGGACCTGCGGAGCAGCAAGTGCGTCTGTGTTCTGGAGAGCCACTACAGCGCCGTCACATCGCTGGCCTTCTCTCCTGATGGCCAAACCCTCGTCAGGTAAACGGGAATCTCATCAAGCATTGTCCTCATAATAGTCCAGCGTTACTAAAGTCGCGCTGTCTCCATTTTTAGTTCTGGCCGAGACAAAATCTGTTCGGTGTGGGACCTGAAGGACAATGCGGTGAAGAGGACAGTCCCCGTCTATGAGGTCGTGTCCCATTTACCTTTATAGCAGCTCAGTTATTGTCTTTGAAAAGAAGCAGGATACTCTTGTGGTTTTACATGGATTTCTCTTGTTTGTGGACGCTCAGGCTGTGGAAGGTGTTGTTCTTCTCCCTGGGACGAGCGATTACTCCCAGATGGGTGTGAAGAGTGAAGAGTTACACTTTGTCACGGCTGGCAGCAAAGGTAAACTCGTACCAGTTCAAATCAAAAGGGTTGAATTTAAAATGGATGAAAATTGGCAAACTTTAATCTGCTAACTAATCTTTGAAGCATTAGTATCTGCTTTGTTGCATCTAATCGAGATAAAAAGATGCATGCAAACTCTTTAAATATAGACGAATCCGACGAGTGTTCTGTGTAGGCTGCCATCTTGTGGCGACGCCATTACTGAGCTGTTACACAGGCATATAGACATATGCACCGGTATGTAAACAAACCTCGGTGATAACGCGAACTCACCCTCGATGACAGCTACAGCCAGGCAGAATGACTTGTTGGTTTGATCTGTGACTGCAGTGGCCTCCAGTCACAGATGAAGGTACAAACGATCTTACAGATTAACGTTATTTATGAAAATAGCTTGGCAAGCTAGCTAGACTAACGTTTGCTAACGAGGAAACTATAAAAAGATCTGTCCATTTGGCAACAATAAATAAATAAATGAATGAAATCAAATAAACAAATTCATGTTTTTCATTTGTGTCCATTATTTATCTCATTTTCACATTGCAACAGGCAAGGGTAAGGTACGTTACAGCTAGAAAGTATACATAATATCGACCAATTAGTGTTTTTAAACCATGGAAAGAGGTCAATATAACAGCGGGAGAACAATTATGTCACATAACGTTACATTTAGCTCAGGAAAGCCATTTAATGACCATAGCATGTTAATTTAATAGAAAAAATAGCAAGAGAGGAGATTTTGCTGATCACTATATCTATATATTTTTTTTACTTATGTCATTAAATAATTGTTATTATACGCGAATGTCCACGTCTTGTACTCGCCCAGGAAATCTGTAAACCGTACGGCACCAGACAGGGGCAGTCGACCCGGGGTATTCACAATGTTTTCTCTTCAAAATTGAAATTTTACTGCCACCATTGAAACAATTTATAACGGAAACTGTTTACCCACTCGACATTATACAAGGGATAACGTTGTAACGTTAGTGACAGTCGTAAATCGCGGGCTGTTTATTCCAGTGGACGCAAGTTGCAACTAAAACAATAGGAGGCAATGGCGCAACGCTACCCAGCAACAGCTCAGTAATGGCGCCCCGCTTACTTCCGGTAGTTTCGCCGGATTCGTCTATAAGATGAATGAGAAAACGTTGTTGTTTAAAGATACTCATTTTGCATTTGTAGTAGGGCTGTCAACTTTTAGTCGTTTAGTCGACTAATCAGTCGATGCCGTGACATTCTTATTGGTCGACCAGTTGCATTTTTATTTTTATTTTTACCAATAGAAATACATTTTCAATGATTTACTCCTTTGATATTTATTTCTTTATAAAGCAGTTATTTATTACTGTATTCTAAATATAATTAGTAGAGGTGGGCATATATACATTTTTTTAATCTAGATTAAAAAAAAGAAAACGGATGTTTTGATTGAACATTTTTTAGACAATTGTCATAGAGCATTTATAAAACAACATCAAAAATAAATAAAACTATAATTTGGTATTCTAAATATAATAGCACGTATAGCACACGCCTTTGGTAGAATTCAAATGAGCCATTTTAATCTAGATTAATTCCAAAATTAATCTAGATTAAAATGGCTCATTTGAATTCTACCAAAGGCGTGTGCTATACCCAAATAAATAACCTTGCAGGTAGTTTGTAAGTAGGCCTAAATATGTTTTATACAAAATTTAACACTGGAATGTTCATATTATTATAAATAATGAGAGTTATCATAATTATTTGATTCTATTGTCAACCCTAGTTTTAAACAGCACAAAATAATAACTAAATCGTTTTTTTTTTTGTTTTTGTTTTTTTTCATAAGGTTTTCTTGTGTAATTCTAAACCCATTTGATCTACTTTTCTTCTATGTAACACGAAATGAATTATTTTGTAGTGTCCGGGAAGCTCTTTTTCTTACAATACAAATAAATAGAGAGGGATGAAATATCGGTAACACTTTACAATAAGGTTCATTAGTTAACATTAGTTAACTGCATTAGTTAACATGTACAAAATGTGAACAATACTTCTAGTTAATAGAAGTAATCTTATTATATATATATCTATATATATAATATAACTAATCTTAGTTAATATTAATTCCAACATTTACTAATACGTTATTAAAATCAAAGGTTCTATTAGTTAACATTAGTTAATGGACTGTGAACTAACATGAACGCACAATGAACAGCTGTATTTGTATTAACTAACATTAACAAAGATTAATAAACACTGTAACTAATGCATTGCTCATCGTTAGTTCATGTTAGTTAATGCATTTACTAATGTTAACTAATGAACCTTATTGTAAAGTGTTACCGAAATATCTGATGAATGCATATAATGCATCGCCTAATACAGAAATCAGCTGCTTGAATGACAATTGCTGATGTTATTAGATTTTCAGGTGAGATTCTCAATTAATTCAGTTAACGAATGCTCTGAAATCACTTCATACGTTTTCTGTATCCGATCTTGAAAAGACCAGGTGTAAATTCCCTCCGAAACTCGGGACAGAGCTCATCACTTTTTGCAGTAAAAAAAAATCACTTAATTTTCAAAGAATTTCATTATTATTATAGTTTTATTTATTTTTGATGTTGTTTTATAAATGCTCTATGACAATTGTCTAAAAAATGTTCAATCAAAACATCCGTTTTCTTTTTTTAGTCGACTAATCGTTGCGCAGGACAAGACCTTGGTCGACTAAGGATTTCTTAGGTTGACTACAGCCCTAATTTGTAGTGCATGCATTAAAAAAATGGAATGTGTTTTTGTGCCGTGTGGCGCTCCTGTGAAATGCTCACGTTGAATCCTCGTGCGGCTCTGAGTAAGTGTTGTGATGTTCTCCGCAGGCGTTCTTCGAGTGTGGGACTCCAGCTCAGCGCGCTGTGTGTTCACGCAGACTCTGCCGGATGCACCAGCTCTCAGCACAGACGAGGCCGATTTGGACCCGCGCTGTCTGGTGCACCTCCTGCCCATGCCTCAGTCCAACAGACTGGCCACAGTCACCGCAGAGCACAACATCCTCATCTATCAGATGCCCACGCTCACCGTGCAGCAGCAGGTACACCTCTCACGCCCGTTTCACACATACTCCGTTTGCAGTGCGTATGCGGTACAGGAGCCGCACGCGCTAAAGTGCTTTCACGTATGCTGCGTTTGCAGTGCGTGAGCTGTACCACAAACACTCGCTATTTTTATTTCAAAATCAGAAGTTATGCAGCAATAGCGTGACCAGTGACCAACAGTCCTGTTATCCCAGTCCTGTTTTCACGTCCTTCCTGGCCGTTTTTTATAAAGTGATGTCCTGGTTTTCAAAAAAAAAAAAAACGCTGGAAAAGATCAGCTTTATAGCAAAATAGGAGATGAGCAAACAAGGAGGATGAGGAGGAAAAACAGGATAAAGAGGAAGGAAACTAGTTCGTTTTTGTACGTTTGTGAGAGACATTTTTGTTCAATTTGAAGGTATTTCTTTTAGTTAATTAATATTGATATATTTATTTTTCTAATAGAGAAGAGACATTATTTTATAATCATTATTTCATTCATTATTTTTTAAACCAACCTGTCATAATAAAACATGTTGAGTATCCTCTGAGAAGCCTGATTTTGTGTCTTAATACAACAATTTTCTATCCACAGAGGGGGCATAGCCTATTTTAATTGTATTGAAATTAACAAGGCATCTTTGAGTAAACTTCGAGTATCATTTGTTTTCTGGGCCATGCGTCCTGGTTTTTGGTAATCAAAATATGTTCACCATATGCAGCAACTTTTTTTAAAAATAAAAGTTTTGCCATGGCTTTGCGATTCTCTTTTACAAACTTGAATGGACGCATGCTCGTTTAAACACGATTTAAACAACGAATGCATACAATTCCATGCATTACTTGTATATTAAGATGTCTTAAAGTAAAAATATGAAACAATTAAATACCTTTATTGAATTAAATGCATTTATGGTGAAACTACTACATTTCGAGGTCAATCTGAGTTCATTTTGACCACGAACCGTGCGCCGTCACTTTATTTCTGCGTTTGCAGCACAGCAGAAATAGACTCGGTACGGAAACGATCTCTGCACTGCTGTAATACGCACCGCAACTGGAACGGATCGACGGACTGCATCCGCGTGCAGTGTGAAAGCTCTAACCTGTTAACATGGGTACGGAAAAAAATACGGAGCGCATACGCACTGCAAACGGAGTATGTGTGAAACGGGCGTCAGCTCACCTTGCGCCAGCATAGGCGTCCGCTGTTTCTGGAACGGTGAACCAATCGGCTTGTTTTGTCTTTTGAAGTTCGTGGGCTACAATGATGACATCTTGGATGTGAAGTTCCTGGGGAAGGACGACACGCACATCGTTGTGGCCACTAACAGCGCTCAGCTGAAGGTGTTTGAGTTGGCCACTAACAGCTGTCAGATTCTGTATGGACACACAGGTCAGTGAGCCACTAGAGGGCAGCAGTGATCTACATGATGCACTGTGTGCTTGTCCAATTTGAGCTAGACTGTCACATGTCTTAGAAATGCCAAAGCACAGTGACCTTACACTAAACACACAATATCTTAAACACTGCTTCGGAAGAGAAGCGCATCCAATCATGCTTCATGTTCGGGATCACGCCCCGAAATTGCGAGATATCGAGAAAAACATTCAATTTTTAAGTTTAAATTAATTACAAAGAATTTGGTTGTGTTGCACATTTTATCTGTTCTAAGATGTGTACGCTTTGCACAACGTAATTGGAAGCAATTTGAACAATTTTTAAATGACCCAAGTGTTCAAGTAAGCTTGAAAGACTGCAAGAGTGTGTAGGACATTTGATTACCTGATGGGACCCACTTACTCAAAGAGTTTAGAAGAACAAGAGGCGAAACTCTGATGCTTTTTTGGTAACGGCCACCAGGTGGCGCTTCGGTAACGCGGCCGCCATTTCGGGGTGTAAATTCAAAACAACAGCACAGATAACCGTTTTTTGAGGTAGTTTTTTCTTGCATTAGTGAGTATTTCCATTTTATGCAACTTTACACCTTTACTACTATTATTAGTTACCAACTCCACTAGGCCTGAAATATATTTTGTATGTTTTAATCGCCTGGATCATGCTACAAACATGATGATCTTGACATGATGCATTGCTGTGTCTGTTATCCTATAACTTTAATGTTAGTGTTTTTTTATTTTTTTTTTATTACATAGTCTTGCTTTAACGGTCATTAATATAAGATAATACTGCAAAAAAAAGAGTTTACCATTGCTGTTATATATTTATTGTCCAACATGTACATTTTAGTACAATTCAATTTATTTGCTGAATTCATTTATTTCATTGATAACTTATTTTTGTATGTACCGTTATGTGTATCTCTTGGAAACGGTATTATAACCGTATTATATTACCTGTCACACTTAATGTGGAGAGTAATAATTAATTAAATCCTTGAACTTCCCTGTCTCAAGTTATGTGGGGGGGGAAAGTCTGGTTAAGTAGCAACTTCTTTTAAACTGCTATAACGTTAACTGACGCGAGTTAAAATAATAACCTAATTATTTCAACCTAAAAATGACCTCTGCACTGGACTAAATATGTGTATAATATATAACTGCCGAGTTGCTTTCACCCCGAAATGGCAGAAGCGAACTGCGTTATAACGAGTCATTAATGTCTTCTAACTTAAATGTTTGAGGTTCTCGACTGAAAAACGTACAAAACTAAATTTCGTGACACAATAAAAGTAGTATTTTTAAATTCCACGCATACTATGAAAAGCGCTATACAAACAAATGTATTACTTGATGGCAACAAACTGCTTTTATCTGTGCTCTTATCTTGCACATAGCAGCGGGATTTAGCATTCAAGCTACACATAACGCCAAAACGGCTCACGTTAGCTACAAGTTATCGCAAGAACAGATTTAGATAAGCTGGGACCCATCTCTTCATCTCTTCACCACACCGGCTCTGCCCACTTTAGGCTTCAAAAATGCTCTTCAGAAACCTACAGGTGACATCATGGACACAGACTCCATGTTTCTTTTACAGTCTATGGATCAAATATAGGAAATATGTCATGTAAATAGACAAGTGGTCAAGTGCAATATTTGGACGGACAACCACTTTAAGCATTAGTATTGCTATCACATGACCTCACTACTGAAGATTAATCACTGATTTGTCGCCGTAATGAAAATACATTTGAGAGCACCAGGTTGATTATAGTTCAACAAAACTAAACATTTGTTACCTGAAATACAATTAGAAATGTAAATAATTTATTTTTATTTTACATCAGCTAATTGGCAAGGGGATATTTTTCATTTCGTTTTCACTTGATGTACTAAAAAAAACGCAAATATAGACATTTTAAAAATGATAAACGAACATTTTTACTAAAATTAAAATCAAGATGTGAAATATTAAAATATAAATCATTCAAAAATGTTACATTCAATTATATTACAATAACTGCATGGAACTTGATTCAGTCAAAACAAGAGGATTAGTATTGAGTTTTGTGTGCGCTGTTAATGCACTTGCTTGTGACGTTACACAAGTTATTTTAAAGATAAATAGCACTGCGTGCAAGTAACGATTATTGGGTTAATGCAGCTAATCCGTTAAGATGCGCCACCCTGAAACTAACAATAACCAGTTGCTATAAATGTAACATAACATTTCCTGATGCAAACCGAGAGCTATTGTTATCGTTCACTCATTGTTTTGAGGAAAACTGCGCCGTTAATTTATCATTCGATTTGTAAGTGAAATCTGTAAGTGAATTACAGTACTTTTTTTTTTCATTTAATCAAAAAATAGTTAATAGATTATCAAAACTATCTTGAGTTGCAGCCCTTCATACTAGATTTGTAAACTGCATAAATGATGTAAAAACAACCGGCTTCAAATATTACAAAGGGAATTAGTGTAGCCTACTTCATGCACCTCTTGAGTGTACATTGAGTCTACATTGTTGACATTCTCGTCTTCTGCTGACGTATTGCTCTAATTATCTTTCCGCAGACACCATCTTATCTATTGATGTATTGCGCAAAGGCTCTATGTTCGCCAGCTGTGCAAAGGTGACTCTTTTACTTTTTCTTAGAAAGCTGCACCTGTGTCTTTTCCCTAGCATATCATGGCATTCAAAACATCTGAATGTAAAGCTTCGCCCATACATTGAAAAAACAACAGGTTTATGTAACCTTTTACACAGGATAGGTCCTTGCGGCTATGGAAGATGGATCCGAACAGCGGCTACGTGCAGTGCGTGGCTCAGGGCAGCGGACACTCCAACGCCGTGGGCTCGATCGCCTGCTCCAGGTCAGCCCTCAGCCGCCAGTGTATCACTGATTGTATCATGAGCTGTACAAGTCAAAACCTGCAGCGTTATCATACAACTGTTGCTACAACTTGCTAAACTGATAACATGCTCTTTTACATTTCAATCAAAACCTGCTAATAATAAGCCATTTTAATAAAGTTCATGAACTTTCTAGGGTTGTCGAGCTATGCCGTACTTATTTGCTCTTTTACAACACCTTAGAACATGATTATGTTAATATGAGCCAGTGTTGTAGTCGAGACCACCTCACTCGAGTCCGAGTCGACACAGAGACCAGAGAGAGTCGAGTCCGAGTCGAGACCGAGTCCATAGAGAGTCGAGTCCGAGACCAGAGACGGTCGAGACCGAGACCAGTGAGGGTTGATTACCTAATTTACTTTTATTTACTTAGAGAAATCCTTTTTTTTTTTTTTTTTACTGAATTTACTTAGAGTTTAAAAATATAATCATTTTTGGGGAAAAAGGCCACATAGTAGGTGGTGTTAAAAGCAATTGTATTACAATTTGTCATGCACAGTTGCGCACTAGAAAATCACCAATCACTGGGCGTGTCAATCAATTTGAAGAAATATTTTATTAAAATACATTAATAATCATGAAAAATATTTTTAATTGAACTCGAGTGGAGTCGGGAATAATTCCGAGTCCTAAAAAAACAAATGTTCGAGTACGAGTCAATTCCGAGTCCAAATGGACACGAGTCCATGACAAGACCAAGACCATTAAAATATGGTCTCGAGACCGAGTCCGAGACGAGTCCGAGTCTCGAGTACTACAACACTGATATGAGCTATCATTTTTAGTACCCCAGGAGTCTCCATTGGTACAAATGCTGACCTGGGAGTTTTGGTCCCCTATGTTAAACCCTCAGTGACAAACTTGGGTCTTATTTTTGATTCTGCTCTTAAATTTGACAAACAGATAAGTGCCGTAGTTAAATCTAGTTTCTTTCAACTAAGACTATTATCTAAGGCAAAGAGCTTTTTGACATTTGCAGAGTTTGAGAGAGTGATTCATTTGTTCATTTCATCTAGACTTGACTTTTGTAATTCTCTTTATATTGGAATGAGCCAGTCCAATATTAGTCGTCTTCAGATGGTCCAAAATGCAGCAGCCAGACTTTTGACTGGCACAAGGAAGTTTGATCATGTCACCCCAATACTGCGTTCGTTGCACTGGCAACCAGTTTGTCATAGAATAGAATTTAAAATTTTGCTTTTTGTTTTTAAAGCCATGAACAATTTAGCTCCAAGCTATCCGTCTGATCTTTTGAAACTAAATGACTGTACTAGATCACTGAGGTCATCTCAACAAAGATTGTTGATGGTTCCAAGATCAAGGCTGAAGACGAGAGGTGACCGTGTTGGTCCAAAACTATGGAATATTCTTCCTGTATCTTTAAGATTAATATCCACTGAGTCTGTTTTTAAATCTAAGTTAAAAACCTACCTGTTTTCACTGGCCTACAAGTGTCCTTGATTTAATGTTGAATGGTCAAATTGGTGGTTTCGATGTAAACACCCCCCCCCCCCTTTTCTCATTAGTTTTGCGGTTAGTCTTTTTTTTACGATATTTTATTTCTGCTGTACAGCACAATGTTCAACTACTGTTGTTTTTATTGTGCTTTATAAATAAAAGTTGATTGATTGATTGATTGATGATTTATTTGATCAGATTTGAAGGGATAGTTCACCCAAAAATGCACGTACATGACTGTCTTTTTAGGAAAATAATCTATCGCTGCTTGTGGTTTTTCAAGGGTCAAACGAACGGCACCCATTATATGGGCATGGGTGCCGCTTGGTTGACGCATGAAAAACCACCTGTAGCGATGGTGACGGTAATCCATACGACTCCAGCGGATGAATCAATGTCTTCTGAAGCCAAACGATTGGTGTGTGTGTGAGAAAGATGGTAGACGTCATCTCATCATGCCTTGTTACCACTGTGCAGGCTGGTGGTGGTGGTGTAATGGTGTGGGGGATGTTTTCTTTAGACAACAGGGTAGGGTTACACCAGCCGCTCATAAGTTCATTCTTGATGGAATGTAAAATCCATACGGGCGGATAGGCTACAACAGCAGAACAACAACTGATCTCCACTACAAAAGGGGAAAAGAGGCTATAATTTGCAAGAGCTCTCCAAAATTGGACAGTTGAAGACTGGAAAAATGTTGCCTGGTCTGATGAGACTCGATTTCTGTTGAGACATTCAGATGGTAGAGTCAGAATTTGGCGTAAACAGAATGAGAACATGGATCCATCATGCCTTGTTACCACTGTGCAGGCTGGTGGTGGTGGTGTAATGGTGTGGGGGATGTTTTCTTTAGGCACACTTCAGGCCCCTTAGTGCCAATTGGGCATCGTTTAAATGCCACGGCCTTGTTTCTGACCATGTCCATCCCTTTATGGCCACCATGTGCCCATCCTCTGATGGCTACTTCCAGCTGGATAATGCACCATGTCACTAAGCTCGAATCATTTCAAATTGGCTTGAACATGACGATGAGTTCACTGTACCCCAGTGGATGAATCAATGTCTTCTGAAGCCAAACGATTAGGTGTGTGTGAGAAAAATACCTTTATGGTCATAAAATCATAGTCATAAAATCTTTATGACTGTGAATCATTGCTTTCGGTCTTCTACGGTCGTGTGAGTGTTCGTGAGAGGGAGGTTGTGACGTGAGGTACGTGTGTTGTGAAACTCACGTGAGAAGTGGCGATGCTTTGTTACTTTTGTGCAAACTTCACAACACACTTAGTTCTCTCGTTGTTCTTTTAGTCCGGACCAACAATGAGAAACATTTGGTCTTGGTTTGCTTGGCGTTCATTCTCGTGCTTCGGATGTTTGTGAGCAGAAAAGTTTCCTCATAGCGAAAACTGAGGTCCCTTTCGCATCTTCTTGCGCTTGAATATTTTAATTGGCAAGGCTTAAATGTTTGTGACGATACAGCATTGGCCAGTCAACTGTTCTGTGCATCGTTCACGTTTATTTACAGTCATGTTCTTATAACATTGCATTGCCAGAAGTCATAAAAATATTACCGGCCAACTGGCGAATGACACTTTTTCATGTACTCGCCAATAGGGCTGGGTATTGAGACAAATTTCACAATTTGATTCGATTTCGATTCACAAGCTTGCAATTCGATTCGATTTCGATTCAATATCGATTATTTTGGATATCAGTTACAATAAATGGCCGTTTTTCTCAAGCGAATCAAATCTCTTAAATGTAAACTATGGGAGTCTAGTTGTAGCCTGCTAGGCTTCATTAGCCTAATATGAAGGTAATAATGAACTGTTTTGTAGCTATACAAACATATAAATTACACTTTTATTTATTTTTATAATAAGAAGATTATATGAAGTATAAACATTTAAATGGTGACTGTCATAAAAACTTGCCAGATTTATTCAATTATGCATTAAATATTGAAGAACATTAAGATTATAATGCATATGTAATATGGTGTATATGTTTAGCAAAATGCTCCTCTGTAGAGTTATTTTTTCTAGCTGACTAACGAGTTTATGTGGTTTTTCTGAGGTAAATATATGACGATACATTGATTACAAGCTGTTTAACTGACATCTTTCCACGGTTGAAACGCTGATTGAGCGAATCAATGTGACATGATACGGATTTGGATAAGTTGTACTCTGTCTTTTAACACACTTTCAGATGCTCATTCATGTTTATTTCGCGCTGTGACTGGTATTATTAACCCGGAAGAGAGATCAGCGCTGCTGCTTCTCTAGAGCGATCTCACGCCACAGCGCCAAAACGTTATTTATGTTTTTGAATTTCTAAAGAAAATGGGCGTAATTTGAAATTTGAGACTTCATATCAATAGTAACAAAGGACAAAGATTATTGCGATATTTTTTTATTTTATTTTTTTGGATGTGCGCAGCCGCGATACAATGTCCCATTCATTCAAATGAAACAGGATGACTAATCGATTCTTGAGAGTTAAGAATCGATATCGGTTCGTAAAAATGAGAATCGATTAATATCGAGAAATCGATATTTATTACCCAGCCCTACTCGCCAATGCGATTTTTACTCTCATTTGGTGCTTTTTTGGCCCGGCACCTGTCGTTTGGCTTCAGAAGACACTGATTCATCCGCCGGGGTCTTTGGATTACCGTCACCATCGCTGCGTGTGGTTTTTCAAGCTTCAACCGAGCGGCGGCCATTCACTTGCAGTATATGGACTCACAGAGATTTATTATTTTCCTAAAAATCTTTGTGTTGATCTAATGAAAGAAAGCCATATACTGTATAACAGGGATGGCATCAGGGTGAGAATTTGATGAGAGAAATTTGAGTGAACTATCTCTTTAAAAAACAGAACCGTCCATTTCATTAAACCCGTGCGTGAATGCAATAGCCAATTCGATATGTGTTGAGCGTCCAATCAGAGGTGTTTAAGAAACCGTTCAACAGTGCTCAAAATGCTAGAGGGAAATGCTGGCATGGTCACATTTTTATAATTAAGTCTATACTTTTGGCAACACTACTGTGCAAATAAGTGTCAGTTTTTGAGTTGTTCTAACTCATACACCTGTTTCACTGTTCCTGTATGCAGGTTAAAGAAAGTCTTCCTGGTTTCGGGCAGTCAGGACTGCACTATTAAGGTGTGGGAACTGCCTGACCCTCTGCCCGCCGTGGGATGTGAACCGGTCTTGATGACGGCAAAACTCACAGAGAAAGCTCATGACAAGGTGGTTGTTTGCCCTCGTCACGTTCAATCTCACTCAAGAAATGTGTTTTGCAAATCTGTCATCTTTCTTTTTTTCTTTTGACATTTCTTGTGTCCATTTAGTGAAAACAAGGTGTTGAGATAAGAGTTGAATGCACATTCTTATTGTGTAACCATGATGTACAGGGGTTGGACAATGAAACTGAAACACTGGCCAATGTTGGAGGTTTCACATCTATATGCCTGGCGGCCAATCTTCAGAGTGAAGCACGGGTGGATCAGTGATGGTTTGAGCTCCAAGCATGACAATCCTGATTGTATTTGATGGAAACGACACTGCCGAGGACTACCAAACCCTTCTGGAGGATCATGAGCACCTGATGCTCAAACCGTGTATCAGCATGATCATGCACCAACACACACAGCAATACTTGTGACAGAAGGGTTTGATGAAGATGAAAGTGACGTTGAACATGCACAGTCACCAGATCTAAATATTATTGAGGTGTTTTGGAGGAGCGAGTCCACCAGCATCATATAGTGACCTGGACACTGTTCTGGAAGAGGAACGGCTCATAATCCCTCTGGTCACTGTGAAGGACTTCTATCTGTCATTCCCAAGATGAATTGGTGCTGTATTTGGATGCAAAATGAGGCCCTCACCATACTAACAAATTATTGTGTTGTAAAACCAGGTGTTTCAGTTTCATTGTCCAACCCCTGTATATATACACTACCAGTTAAGTTTTAGATCAGTAAGATATTTTATGATTTTAAATGAAGTCTCTTCTGCTCACCAAGGCTGTTTTATTTGATGAAAAAATGACAAACAGTAATATTGTGAAATATTATGACAATTTAAAATGACTGTTTTCTATTTTAATATATTTTAAAATGTAATTTGAAAGCTGAATTTTCAACATCATTACTGTTGCTGATTACACATCAGTTTTCAGTGTCACGTGATCCTTCAGAAATCATTCTAATATGCTGATTTAATGCCAAAAAAAACATAAGAAAGTTCAAAAGAACAGCATTTATTTAAAATATAATCTTTTCTAACATTATAAATGTCTTTACTGTAACTTTAACTTTACTATCCTTGATGAATAAAAGTGTTTTCTAATTTCTTCCCCCCAAAAATAAAAAATAAATTCTTACTGACCCCAAACTTTTGAATTAATTTCTGTAGGATCGTGTGACACTGAAGACTGGAGTAATGATGCTGTAAATTCAACTTTGATCACAGGAATAAATTTCACTTCACTATATATTCACATAGAAAACCACTGTTTTAAATTGTAATATTATTTCACAATATTAGTATTTTTTTTTTATTTTTTATCAAATAATTGCAGCCTTGGTGAGAAGAAAACTTATGTAAAACTTTTGACCGGTAGTGTGTGTGTGTGTGTATATATATATATTTATATATAATATGCTTCACACGTAATTGTCATTTTGCGTTTTTGTCTCCTGTAATATTCCTGAAGGACGTGAACAGTGTGACCATCTCTCCCAATGACAAACTGCTGGCCTCCGGCTCTCAGGATCGCACTGCTAAACTCTGGTCCCTGGCTGATATGAGTCTGCTAGGCATCTTCAGAGGTCATGCTCGAGGTATTTGGTGTGTTCAGTTCTCTCCGGTGGACCAGGTCCTGGCCACAGCCTCAGCCGACGGCTCCATCAAGATCTGGAGCCTCCAAGACTTCAGCTGCCTCAAGGTAACTTAAACTTTCAGGTTTAAAGTGTTGTTGAGTTTGATATGTGCAACAGTTCCTGACCACTTTTCTGTCAGCGGTCACAGTAGGAGACATTTCACAGGAGGCAATTGGTGATTTTTGGAGACAGAAAGATTATATATCACCTGGAAGTCACCTAAAGCGCCTTGACTATGCATTGGAGGGTTATATTAATAATTTTATTGTTGAGAAGGTCGATGAAAAGCTTCAGCTCCTGGCAAAAATGTACAGGTCACAGTGTAAACGTGATAAACCGCATATTGTTGCCATCACCGTTTGGTGCTACAGTATTTACATGAATCATTCAGCACAACATTAACACATCTTGGCTTTTATTTCAGTGATATTTTGTGATATCCCAAAATTCGCATACAAATCGGTGGATGGAAACATACATATTGATGTTCTGTTTTATTTTTACAGACGTTTGAGGGACATGATGCATCTGTGCTAAAGATCATATTTGTCAGTCGAGGAACTCAAATGGTGTCTAGGTAGGTTATCTTCTGTCTCTTACATTTTCTGTCTCTGGTCCAAACATGCACTGTTCAACTATATAAACTTTCACGTTCATATTAAAGGATTAGTTCACTTTTGAAAACTTTTGCTGATAATTTACTCACCCCCATGTCATCCAAGATGTCCATGTCATTCTTTCCTCAGTCGAAAAGAAATTTAGGTTTTTGATGAAAGGATTTTTCTCCATATAATGGACTTCAATGGGAACCAGACGGTTCAAGGTCCAAAAGAGAGTTAATAACAGTTTCAGATTCAGCTTCAAATGTCTTTAAACGACACCAGACGATGAATAAGGGTCTTATCATGCGAAACGAACGGTTATTTCAAAACTTATTCCAAAAATGTAACTTTTCTAAGGACAAATGCTAGCCTTTCTCTATTCTGTGAGGCGCGTTTGTAACGTTACGTAATACGTAATTACGTTCAAAAGGTCACGGGCGACGTAGCCGGAAGTACAGAGTCAGTGTTTACAAGTTGAACGTGCAAACTAACTCAAACGCCGTTTACAAAAAATGAATTAAAAGGTAAAACAACGATGTCGGACGATTTTGATTCTGTACTTCCGGCTACGTGACCCGTGACCGTTTGAACGTAATTGCGTGACGTTACAAACGCGCCTCACAGAATAGAGCAAGGCTAGCATTTGTCCTTAGAAAAGTTACATTTTTGGAATAAGTTTTGAAATAACCGATCGTTTCGCATGATAAGACCCTTATTCATCGTCTGGTGTCGTTTAAAGACATTAGAAGCTGCATCTGAAACTGTTATTAACTGTCTTTTGGACCTTGAACCGTTTGGTTCCCAATGAAGTCCATTATATGGAGAAAAATCCTGGAATGTTTTCATCAAAAACCTTAATTTCTTTTTGACTGAGGAAAGAAAGACATGGACATCTTGGATGACATGGGGGTGAGTAAATTATCAGCAAAAGTTTTTTCAAAAGTGAACTAATCCTTTAATGAGAATATTTACTAGAGCCAGACCGATATATCGGCCGATATTAGGCATTTTCCAAACTATCGGTATCGGCAGTTATAATGGCTCATAAATTAATATTTCAAAATACTTTTGACAACGTGACTGAAGTATTTCTTTAATAGCGCGTAACGGTTATAGCAATGTAACGTATCATCTCTCCTCGGCCTGTTATATTGAAAATGTATGTTTTACAATTTGCAGTATGACGTTATCCATTGCTAAATTATGGCTCATCATAGACTAGCTAACCACAAAGCTAGCTAATGCCACTATCATCAGTCTGTTCTGTTGTGACGATAGAAGAAACGAGTTTCTTTTTAAAATGCATTATCATATTATTTTAGTTAAAACTCATAAATAACTACAAATAACTAATAATAGGTAAATCTGTTAATGTTTTGTTGCGCGTTTCCGAAAACAATTTCTTTTTTTAAATATCGGCCGATATGTCGGATTTTAAAACCAACAAATATTTGAATCGGCCTTCAAAATCCTTTATCGGTCGGGCTCTAATATTTGCACAGATTTCATGATGTTTACATGTTTTTGTGCTTGTAGTTCATAGTCCAAACATGTGCCAACTCTATTTCTCTGTCATTCTTCAGTGGATCTGATGGACTTGTGAAGTTGTGGACCATAAAGACGAACGAGTGTGTGAAAACATTCGATGCTCACCAGGACAAAGTGTGGGCTCTGCATGGCAGCAGCAATGATGAGCTGATGGTGTCTGGATCAGCCGACTCCACCATCACACTGTGGAAGGTCAGTCCACCTGACGCTTTCAGCGGGGTTGTAAAACACTCTTATGAAACCGAATGCGAACTGCAGTCAGTTTCCCGTACTGAGAAAAAAAGGCCCATTGTTTTGCACTGACACTGATTATGATGAATGGCGAATATGTTCCAGTTGATTATTTCTGGATTATTATGTACTGCTGTTCAACACAATAGAGTGCCGAAGTGATGACGTCACTTTGTAGGACAACCCGGAAGTTAGCGGCGCATGGGTTCCCTCGGTAGAAAAGCAATGCATTTTCCCCATAGACTTTTGGAAAATCGCAAAAAATAAGAGGGGTTGTGACCCTTACACGTTTTGTCTATCAAGATAATCTTCAAAGTTAATCCCAAATTTATACATTTTGAAGCATATATAAAGATTTTAAAAAAAACAATCAGACACAATAAAGTTTAAAAAACCACAAGCAGGTTATAAATGTGTGTTCTGTGTCATAGATCAATGTCCATTTGTCCAATAGATCGTGTCCATTTGGACTCGGAATTGACTCGTACTCGTTTTTTTTTTTTTTTTTTTAGGACTCGGAATTATTCCCGAGTCCACTCGAGTTCAATTAAAAATATTTTTCATGATTATTAATGTATGTTAATAAAATATTTCTTTAAATTGATTGACACGCCCAGTGATTGGTGATTTTGTAGTGCGCAACTGCGCATGACAAATTGTAATAAAATTGCTTTTAACACCACCTACTATGTGGCCTTTTTACCCTAAACTGATTTATTAAACTCTAAGTAAATTTAGTAAAATAAAAAAAGGATTTCTCTAAGTAAATAAAAGTAAATTAGGTAATCAACCCTCACTGGTCTCGGTCTCGACTCGGACTCGACCGTCTCTGGTCTCGGACTCGACTCGGACTCGACTCTCTATGGACTCGGTCTTGACTCGGACTCGACTCTCTCTGGTCTCGGTCTTGACTCGGACTCGACTCTCTCTGGTCTCGGTCTGGACTCGGACTCGAGTGAGGTGGTCTCGACTACAACACTGTGCTAACTCACTTCCGCCATAACTTCGGCACTCTATCATCATGGAGCAGCAGAAATCTCTAGCATTTACATTGATCTTCTTAAGTTACATATATTACCGTTCAAAGAATCCTGGAGAAAATGTGTTACTGTTTCTCCACAATAATATGAAGCTGCACGTTTTCCGTTTTCAACATTGATAATAATATTCAGAAATGTTTCTTGAGCATCAAATCATGTTAGAGTGAATTTTGAAAGATCATGTGACACTGAAGACTGGAGTAATGATGCTGAAAATTCAGCTTTGATGATCACAGGAATTAATTGCATCTAAAAATATATTCACAATTTTACTGTGTTTGATCAAATAAATAATCTGTGGTCAATCAACGGTGAGACTTCTGCCAAAAAAAAATTACAGACCCCAAAAATTTGAACCGTAGTGTATTTTTCAGTGAAGCCAAATATTGAATATATGTGTATATATATATACATATATATATGTATGTATGTATATATATATATATGTATGTATGTATGTATATATATATATGTGTATGTATGTATATATATATATATATATATGTGTGTGTATATGTATATGTGTATATATATAAATATATATATACTTATATATAAATATATATATACATATACACATGCATATACATATACAAATGAAGAGTTCAGATGAAAAAGCCTCTAAATGCCATTTGAAATTTTCTTCTTGAATGATGATTTTTATCAAACTTGTATATTTAAGTTCAGTAATTTCACTTAAATAACAGTTAATAGGTAATTATCATTGCCATTTAAGTGAAATCACTGAACTTAAATATACAAGCTTGATAAAAATGATCATTCTAGAAGAAAATTTCAAATGGCACTTAGAGGCTTTTGCATCTGAACTCTTCAAATACACATACATATACATATACACTCACCGGCCACTTTATTAGGTACACCTGTCCAACTGCTCGTTAACACTTAATTTCTAAGCAGCCAATCACATGGCGGCAACTCAGTGCATTTAGGCATGTAGACATGGTCAAGACAATCTCCTGCAGTTCAAACCGAGCATCAGTATGGGGAAGAAAGGTGATTTGAGTGACTTTGAACGTGGCATGATTGTTGGTGCCAGAAGGGCTGGTCTGAGTATTTCAGAAACTGCTAACCTACTGGGATTTTCACGCACAACCATCTCTAGGGTTTACAGAGAATGGTCTGAAAAAGAAAAAACATCCAGTGAGCGGCAGTTCTGTGGGCGGAAATGCCTTGTTGATGCCAGAGGTCAGAGGAGAATGGCCAGACTGGTTCGAGCTGATAGAAGGGCAACAGTGACTCAAATAACCACCCGTTACAACCAAGGTGGGCAGAAGAGCATCTCTGAACGCACAGTACGTCGAACTTTGAGGCAGATGGGCTACAGCAGCAGAAGACCACACCGGGTGCCACTCCTTTCAGCTAAGAACAGGAAACTGAGGCTACAATTTGCACAAGCTCATCGAAATTGGACAATAGAAGATTGGAAAAACGTTGCCTGGTCTGATGAGTCTCGATTTCTGCTGCGACATTCGGATGGTAGGGTCAGAATTTGGCGTCTACAACATGAAAGCATGGATCCATCCTGCCTTGTATCAACGGTTCAGGCTGGTGGTGGTGGTGTCATGGTGTGGGGAATATTTTCTTGGCACTCTTTGGGCCCCTTGGTACCAATTGAGCATTGTTGCAACGCCACAGCCTACCTGAGTATTGTTGCTGACCATGTCCATCCCTTATGACCACAATGTACCCAACTTCTGATGGCTACTTTCAGCAGGATAATGCGCCATGTCATAAAGCTGGAATCATCTCAGACTGGTTTCTTGAACATGTCAATGAGTTCGCTGTACTCAAATGGCCTCCACAGTCACCAGATCTCAATCCAATAGAGCATCTTTGGGATGTGGTGGAACGGGAGATTCGCATCATGGATGTGCAGCCGACAAATCTGCGGCAACTGTGTGATGCCATCATGTCAATATGGACCAAACTCCCTGAGGAATGCTTCCAGCACCTTGTTGAATCTATGCCACGAAGAATTGAGGCAGTTCTGAAGGCAAAAGGGGGTCCAACCCGTTACTAGCATGGGGTACCTAATAAAGTGGCCGGTGAGTGTATATATATATATATTATCGTTCAGGGGAACTTGATTCATCCATCTGATATGAATAGACTTATGATTTTATTTGCTACATCAGCAGAAAAGTTTTTTTATAAAGTTATTTCCCTTAATGTGTCTTGTTAATAGCTGAATATATCAGTGTGTTACAGTATGCAGTGGATTAACAGTGATATTAACAGTGCTAAAAAAAAATTTAAAAGTATCGAATCGAAGTTGGATATTCCAGTATCGCAACAACAATACTCAGGATGACTAGAATCAATGCCCAAACATTAGATCATGCATGTATGTACTTGTGAACATCTCTGATATGCACTGTTACACAATATACGTTTTCTCTCAACTGTTTACCTAGATACTTGGCAAGATGGGCATTTTGCCATAATTTTGTTTGTATTTGACCATTTAAGTGCAATATAATGCCATGAAACATAAATCATTTTGCTTTGAGAGGCGGCTTTATGTGCGCGACTCTAATATAGATCAGTGTTGCACGTGCTTTTGGTGAGAACATGTAACTTTCGGGAATTACTAAAATCATGTGCTATACAAGAACTATTCAACCAGAGTGAGTGAGAGGAGGCGGTGTGTCACTTCATCAAATTAGTGAAGAGAGAGCGAGAACGCACAGCTTGTATCGGTGTACAGATAATGCAAAAACAATATTTTTGGAAACCGTTTCAGATATTTCAGTATCGATACATATTGAAATACCAATATTTTTGACAAAACAATTCCTGAGGACGTTGACAAATTTTTAATCGTTTATTATTGAGTCATGAGTGCCTGCGTCACCAACTGGAGGATTAATGAATACACCATTCTTTTGTAACACACAATATGTGGCCAAACCTATAATTCCTTATCATTATAATTAGCAAGCTGCTGTATATATAACTATGTGAAACTGGATGTCATCTAGACTATCAAGTTCCCCAAAACTCACTTCTATATGCTATAATGATTTCATGCTTGATGTGTATTTGTTTCAGTTGTCTATGCGTATGCTACACTGGCCAGTATTGATGCAGTTGTTTGTTTTCTGGTTAGGATGTGACTAAAGTGGAGCTGGCGGAGGAGCAGGCCAAACAAGAAGAGCAAGTCCTTAAGTAAGTCACTGCCTGCTTTATGTAGCAAACTAATGCGGTCAGGCAGAAAGATTGATAAAAAAGATAAATGTCATAATGTTTTGTTTTGTTCAACAACAGGATTGGTTTTGGCAAGCGATAAAACATTGTTTCTTGAACCCTTAAAGCTCTTTATAGGTTTACCTGATTTGTTTCGTTCTTTGTTTGTCCGTTGTTGACACACGACAGCTTGATTGACTGATATGCTTATATTAGTTCTTAGTGGAGATCAATGAGAGTTATAGTCCATATCCAAAAATAAAAATTGTCATTTACTCACTCTTATGTCATTCCAAACCAGTGTGATTTCCATTCATTGTGATTTCAAACACAAATGAAGATGTTTTTAATAAAACCTGAGATATTTCTCTCTAAACATACGTATTTGGATTGTTTTCAATAATAATTGAACTAAAGAGATTTTTTTTAACAAACTCTCTCACACACACTTCATAAAGGCATAGCAAAAGTAATCCATATGAATCAAGAATTTTAATGCAAGACTTCTGAAGAGACTTGATCACTTTATATGATAAACAGATTTAATGTAGGATTTTATTCACATATTAAAGGGATAGTTCGTTTTGAAATTAATTTTTGATATGTTTTAGCTTACCTCAAGGGCATCCAAGATGTAGGTGTCTTTGTTTCCGCAGTATTTTCAATTTTGACATTTTTCAGTCAAACCGGTGTTGTCTGTCAGTCATACACTCGAGGCTAAGGGGGTCCACCTCAAAGAGCATGCACAGAGAAGTCCAAATTAAACATGATTTAATGACTCGTAAATGTAAGTACACATTGATGGCCTAAGACACGAAACGAGCGGTTTGTGTGAGAAAATGAACAGTATTTATATATCGTTTTTACAATGTCCAACTGAACCGAACTGAATCAGTTCAATGTTACGCCGGAAGTGATCGCTTGCGTGTGACGTCACTCGATATTTACACAGAGATTTCGGAAGATTTACCTTTTACTAAACATATTTAGATATACCGAAATCATCTTCGATTGCGGTTTCCCGTATATATAAATATGTTTAGTGAAAGGTAAAACGTCCGAAATCTCTGTATAAACAAAGAGTGACGTCGGCACGCAAGTGATCACTTCCGACGCATGCGCAGACCGAAGCGCCCGTGCCGTCAGATCATTTTGTCATGGCTGTGATTGCAAGAGGTAAAACGATACAAATACTGTTCGTTTTCTCACAAAAAACGCTCGTTTCGTGTCTTAGGCCATCAATGTGTACTTACATTTACGAGTCATTAAATCATGTTTAATTTTGACTTCCCTGTGCATGCTTTTCGGTGGACCCCCTTAGCCTCCATTATATGACTGACAGACAACAACGGTTTGACTGAAAAATGTCAAAATTGAAAATACTGCGGAAACAAAGACACCTACATCTTGGATGCCCTTGAGGTAAGCTAAAACATGTCAAAAATGTATTTCACAGTGAACTATCCCTTTAAACAATGATCAGCGAACAACAGATCAAACTTGCATTCTTGGCACGAGAGCAAATTCTTAAGTGGATGAAAAAACTACACGATTCATCTCCTTATAAAGCTTTTTGAAACATCAAAATTTGGCTTGGATGGACCTTCAATGAATGCACGTCTAAATTCACTAAAATATCTCAGTGCTTCCCAAGACAAGAGGAATGAAAGGGTTTGGAGAGTAAATGATTTTCTTTTTGGGATGAACTAATGCTCTTTTGGAACGCATTGCTTATTATTGTCTGTCTTTCAAATACAAAATCTCCCTCTGAACACGTATGGATTTTGTGGCATCTTCGCAGGCAGCAGGAACTGTCAAATTTACTTCATGAGAAGAAGTACCTGAAGGCTCTGGGTATCGCCATCTCTCTGGATCAGCCGCACACTGCCTTACGAGTCATCAGAGGTACTTTCTCTTTTGTTTGCTTGCATTGAGGCCAACCTGCCAGCTTTACTTTCCAAAAGCATTTATTTTAAATGTGGATAATCAGGTCGATCCACATTTATGCTCCATGAACAGCAATCGCCGAGACACTCCAATGCTTTATTTCCTGAATGCCGTAAATCAAACACTGGCTATTTTTACGTGATGGTTTATGAATGTGGAAGATGATGCTTGGTGTAGTATTACTCATTGTATAATATTGAACAACACTTCCTTTAGAAATTCCAGCGTTGCTCTTTTTGGCTAAACTGGTTAAACCTAAGATGTCTGTCACTATTATCTTAAGATTTCTATTTCAAATGAATGCAGATCTGACTAATCAAAGAAAACAAAAAAACATGTTGAGTGAACGCTCTCCGCACGCAGTCTTTCCTTAGCCAGCAAATGTTCACAAACCAATCAGAGGATGTGAATTGAATCATGTGATTTCAAGGTAAAAAGGCGAACCGGTTTTTATTTCTCCAGCTGAAAGTTTTTATCATGTTTAAAGGAGAACGATTTTGAAGATTATAAGAAATGTATACTAGAAATGTGACGATGACGATGGAGTGTTTAAGTTTGTTTACTGAATTAATGCACAACTTAACAGTACACTAGTTATTTACATATTATTTTTGATGTATTTGATGCATCCCTGAAAGGTTAGATTTTTGCAAATCTTTTGAAATGAAAGATCAAAAGGATAAACAATGCAGATTTATTTTTTTACAGCCATTTTGATCATATTTTCCAGGGTTGCCAATAATTCTGACCACAACTGTATATGTGTGTAAATCAGTGAAGACTAGGGTTGGGTATCGTTTGAATTTGAACGATTCTGATTCCGATTCCTTGTTTCGATTCCGGTTCCTAACGATTCTCGATTCTGATTCTTTTAAGAGGCAGGGTCAAAAAAGTTTAGCTAACCTTGCTAACCAACGGTCTTTCTGAAGGAAATACTCCTTCTGTCGCAAATACTCCTTTTGTCACAAATGTTGCATTTTGCCGAGATTTCGTTATTTTTAGAAAAGTGAAGCCACACTGTGGACCGCCGACGTAAGCTACTCATGTTCGACTCGCGCGGTTATGCGAACACTTCCGGTAGACGCTTCTTCCTTCGTTGGTGTTGTTCAGCGGTTTCTTCTTCCGCTCGGCGGACTGTGAATATCGAAACTAGGAATCGAAATTTTAACTTTTGAACGATTGCGGGGAAAACGAAAAGTTAGTCCCGGTTCCAATCGATACTCGATTCTCGATACCCAACCCTAGTGAAGACAACAGTGTTTTTTTGTTTTTTTTTCTACATTTGATTATTAAATTTCTTTCGACGCGTCACGGTTCGCTTTGCTTTTTCACTGTGTGGTACGACTCTGCTCGGCATGGCACGGCTCAGTTCGCTTTAGCTCGGTTGCTTTTCCACTGCAGTTAGTACCGCTTCACAGTGGATGGGATTAGTTTAAAAGCAGTCGCTACAGCGGTGGCTGTTAGTGGCTTTTTAAATCTAGCGGGTTTGGTTTCTCGACGCTGGTAGGGACGATTCTGTCTGACCAATCAATGATCTGCAGTGTTTCACGTCACATTTTAGTACCAGTACGCTTGGAACCTCAACAGTCCAGGTACTATTTAAAGCGAGCCGAAACAAGCCGTACCATGCAGTGGAAATGCGCCATAAGTGAAGCCTAGTTCACACTACATGATTTTAAAATGTCGGGCTGAACTGTGCAGTTCACACTACATGACTTGCTCTCAGTGAAATCATGAGTGTTCAAGTTGTTTAGCTGTTCACACCACACAACACAACGTGATTGATCCACAACAGGAGGTGACTCACTACACCAGGGCCGGCTTTGCCGACAGGCGACACAGGCGGCCGCCTGGGGCGCCATCTGCTGGACGGGGCGCAAATTGCAGAATTGAAAAAAAAAAAGTGAATTAAATGTATGTATCGTATCATGAAAGCTGCGCACACGCTGTACACTTTTACTGTACATTGTCTACACTACACACTGCTTGTATTTGTCCATTTCTTTTACAAGATTATACAATCCTAAAAAACGACTGACTCCAGGCAGCAGGCAGCTGTCAAACTCACGCGTGTTGCTCAGCAACCGGGAGTGGCGCGAAAACATATGTTATGCGCGAGCCAGATATCTGACAGCTGGTTTTAGCGCTTTAGTTTCCTCGGTGTAATACGCACGGTTCCGTGCCTTCGGCTCAAAATAGTCCTCGTCGGCTTTGTTTCGCCCGATTCGACATGTTGACAAGGGGATGCCCGCGTATATTCAAAATGGTTGTCACGCGCTGCTTTGTTTACGTTATGTGTATCTGCAGCCGGCCGACAGCGTCGGTTTTCCTTTATATCTGCAGAAATAGACAGTTGGCTCATTGCACGCAGGCGCAGAATATAGCTGACAGTCGCCTGTAGTTCTCTCGGTGTGTTCAAGTCATGGTTCAAGTGCAGCTTTTTACCCCGGCTTTCATCAGCGCTAGTTCGTTGGCGTTATATTAATCTTCAAATGGTCTTCGTTTCCTGTTTACACTTCTGGGCTTCGGGGTCTTGAGGGCACTCTCGCCTTGGGCACCAAATAACCTAGAGCCGGCCCTGCACTACACGAGTTAACAACGCACTACATGAACCACGATCGGATGATAAGAGCATATCATTTGTGACTCAATGAGAGCTGTTTCAGTACTATAGTACGGTCTAAATCCTGAAAATAATCAAACAAATAACGAGTTGACAACAACACGATTCTATCTGGTCTAGAAACCATGTTTTGTCACGAAAAACCACGCAATAAAATGAACCAGAAATGACGCGAAACTGCAGAGAAGAACACAACACGCGAATATGGACGTCAGACAGAAACTAGTGCTGCACACTGTTTGCTCGACGATCTGCTCTGAGAAAAAAAAAATGCAAAAAAGAAAAGAAAAAGTAAGATTTACCTGGTGTCCTCAACCCATGCGTTGCTATGATTGGCTGTACTCATGACATCACTGAGATTGAGTCGCGCGACTGCTCGAGATATCTAGCATGCTAGATATTTTTCTGAGCTCGGTGACCTGTCTGCGAGGTGTCTGCGAGCTGTCTTTGATGCGTTGTTGGCTCTTTCACACTAACGGATTGGCGAGCGTTAATCGTCCGCTAATCGCCCGCGATTTGCACGTGATAACACCCTGACTTGTCGGCGACTCAACGATTTGCAAATCGGGCTTAAATCGGGCTTAAAATCACGTAGTGTGAACTAGGCTTGAGACGAGTTGAACCGTACCATGCAGTGGAAAAGCGTCAAAGCGTGCCGTACCGAACCGTACCATGCAGTGCAAAAGCGCCAAAAGAATTTAGTTTTTCTGTTTGTCTCAGGACTTGCTTTATTAAAGAAGACTGTCAGTGCATGTAATGATTTTCAGTCAGCTTCAGTGGTGGAGGAAGTACTGAATCTCAGTACAAATAACCAGATAAATATTTACTTTAGTAAAAGTAGAAGTAACACAATGACAACCATACTTAAGTAAAAAGTACCTGATTTTAAATGTACTTTAAGTATTAAATAAAAAGTAAAAGTACTTGCATAATAATTTATTCTCTTAATGTATATTTTATAATGATTAATAAAACATTTAATTCTAACTCATTCAACCTAATAGCCTACTCCTATAATGATGTTCAATAATGATGGAAAAAAATTGTCACCATTTCTGAAACATTTCTGCAATTAGGCAATATAAACATGCTTATCCTTACTATATGTTAATAACTATGTTTGGCAGAAAACGTGATTAATTTATGGTGTAATTCTGAACCTCTTGGCTTGCCATAAGCCTAACCAAACGTATATTACACAACACATGGTGCATTTCCTATGCACGTACAGACAAATTTTCGCGTATAAATCACACGATAAACGGACTGCGAGACGCATTTAGTGTGACCGGGTTGATGTATCTATGGCAACCAAACGTCCCTGGTGAGACAAACGTGCAACGGACGGACGGTCAGATTACGTTTTGGCAGGGGAAAAACTGATCAGAAAATGTAATGAAAATGTAGCAGAAGTTGTAGAAATGTAGTGGAGTAGAAAGTAGAATAATTGCTCCAAAATGTAACGAAGTAAAAGTAAAAAGTATGCACTATAATTCTACTTAAGTAAAGTAAAGAAACGTGAAAAATGTACTTAAGTAAAGTAACAAAGTATTTGTACTTCGTTACATTCCACCACTGGTCAGCTTAAATCACATTTGTTTTATAATATTAGGTTGATTAACAATTAACACAATTAACCAGTGTTGTAGTCGAGACCACCTCACTCGAGTCGACACCGAGACCAGAGAGAGTCGAGTCCGAGTCAAGACCAAGTCCATAGAGAGTCGAGTCCGAGACCAGAGACGGTCGATTCCGAGTCAAGACCGAGACCAGTGAGGGTTGATTACCTAATTTACTTTTATTTACTTAGAGAAATCCTTTTTTTTTTTATTTTACTGAATTTACTTAGAGTTTAAAAAATATGATCAGTTTAGGGTAAAAAGGCCACATAGTAGGTGGTGTTAAAAGTAATTTTATTACAATTTGTCATGCGCAGTTGCGCACTAGAAAATCACCAATCACTGGGCGTGTCAATCAATTTAAAGAAATATTTTATTAACATACATTAATAATCATGAAAAATATTTTTAATTGAACTCGAGTGGACTCGGGAATAATTTCGAGTCCTAAAAAAAAAATGTTCGAGTACGAGTCAATTCCGAGTCCAAATGCACACGAGTCCATGACAAGACCAAGACCATTAAAATATGGTCTCGAGACCGAGACGAGTCTCGAGTACTACAACACTGCAATTAACCCTTTAAAAGACTTCTCAACCAAACGGTTGAGCACATTTTGAGTCACTATATTTTATTGACAGGAGTACCTAACTTTACTCAAATTGATTGAGCCATCTCCATCTCTATATATTTTACAAAATATTTTTTCCTATAAAATGACTATAAAATCAAAGCTATATACAGTATATCTAACCAAGTTGTGTTCCAAATTTGAAGTTGAGATCACAAAAATTGAAGTTCTCATGAGATTTTGTTTAGGCGTAATACCAAAAATTAAATAAGTTCCATTGAATTTAATTGTATGCATTCTCCTGTAGCAAATTAATAGATTTCTGTCCAAAAAAAAAAAACGCCGTAAACCAGCTCAATCTCTTCCATCTCAGATAGGGGTATTACTTTATTTTATTTTATTTTATTTTTACTCTTAACTGTTTTTATTTATATTTATTGTTTTAATTCCTTTTACGTAAAGCCCTTTGAATTTCCATTGAGACCTTTCTGACAATGTGTTTTGTCAAGACTAGAAAAGGTTTTGATCCTAAATTATGATAGGCGATGAAAAAGTATGGCAAAGTATGTGTATGAATTCCGGTACCATTTATTACCATTAAAGGAGCAATGTGTGATTTTTAGCGACATCTAGTGGTTCGGTTGCGAGTTTGCACCAGGTTTGCACTAATGGCTCAGCCCACTGCTCACCCCTCCCTTTCGAAGAAGCTACGGTTGCTAAAACGGGACAAACATCTCGTCGGCTGAGACAGCAGAGAATAGCCAGAGTAAGACAAGAGTGTGTAACATTGTCACTGTTTCTGTACCACAGTCCATTATGAACCACATCATGGATACTGTTTACAAAGCCATAGTCAGGTGAGGATCAAGGGTTTTAATATATAATTTAATAAAATAATATTAATCAGCTGATTGTCTCACAAACGTAACCAGCAGCACATTTCTCCCCACATATTGTAGCAAACCCATAATACAGCGAGGGAGCAGCTATATATTTTTTCTAACAGGGTAGTAATAGTTTAGCTGGCTAATATGAGCTGTTACTGTGGCTGAGCTGGGACGCGTCGGCATCGCATGAGTCCAAAGGTCGGAACTGCACGCGCTGTTACAATCATGTCATCTCCGCATCCCATAGATACTATTTACTACACACAATAGGCTTTTTTTCTCTGATTTTGAAAACTCTTCGCGATCGACTTTAGTGATAAAAGACTTTAGTAAAAGTCTCTATCGACGGGTTAGTGATTCCTGTAACGTACTGTTTTACGGTCAATGACATGAATACTAATCATCAGCTGTCTCACGAACGTAACAGCACATCTATCCCCAACATAACAAACCCATAACACAGCGAGGGAGAACTAAGTTACATGAAACAATCCTAACTACATATTTTACACCACTCACAAGGGAAAAGTCACTACTCCCGGAGTGTAAGGCTAGCTTCCAGCTTTCCGCTACTTCTCTTTCAAGGTAGTGATGAAACGCGTTCTGTAGCGCTGTTTGTTCGCGTTCGGCTACGGTAGGAATATGACGTCACAACATGGCGACCTTCATAGAAGGGGATTCCCGCGGTTATGGAGCTATTAATGTCTCATTCTAAGGTAATAAAAACATTACGGCTAATTAAGTAAGTTCTTTATACACCACTGAAAACATAGTTATGGATGTCATATTGCATTTCTGTTAATAGATACTCAACTTTGTTACACATTGCACCATTAAGTGACATCTCAAACATTTGGTAGAGGTCGATTATTTTTAAAATGATGGGATGTGGTGAAAAAACAATTCATTGAGTGTGGTTACCAGCGACATATGAAGATAAGAAATGCAAACAAAAAATTTTTCCAATTACTTTTTTCCTGTTATGGACTTCAAAGGGTTTTAATCATATGTTATTTTCTTTAATCTTTCATAGAAATTCGGCAGCAGGAGGATGGGATTCAGGAGCTGGAAAAGACCCTCCTGAAACTCCGTCTGGACCAAAAAGGTACACGCCGTGTGTCGGTGCAGTGCTCTAGTGAAGGTCATCGCGATCACTGATCACCTTAGCTGAGTGTGTGTGTGTGTGTGTTCAGAGTCGGTGCTCCGCTACTGTGTGGTGTGGAACACGAACGCGCGCAGCTGTCTGGACGCTCAGGCCATCCTGCGGGTGCTGCTCACACACCTGAGCCCTGAGGAGTTGCTGCAGTACCAGGGGGCTCGCACTCATCTGGAGGGCCTCATCCCGTACACAGGTGTTCTGTCCAAACCAACCCACACACACCGTGACATGCTAGAGAGCCTTCTGACTAGGGGTGGGCGATATGGAAAAAATAACATATCACGATTTTTTTAGGAAAATCACGATCACGATTTTTTTATCACGATTCTTTTTCAAGTTTGTTTTAATATTTTGCAAGTGGCTGTTCATTACAGCCAAACTAATGTCCTTATGTTAAAAACAAAGCCTTAGGTAACAAAAGAAAAAAGAAAGCCACACATTTAGGCCAGTGGCGAAGATAAAAATCTTTGTCATTATTTTCTTTGTTATTAAAAAAATAAGACAAGATAAACATTACACAAATTAATATTCATATTAAATAAATAGTGCTTTATTTTTTCAGATGCAGTAGGTGTATTTAGCAGTAGCATTGAAGTAATTAAATAAACAAATATGAAATTAAAACACTACATAGACTTCACTGAATAAATTGATTCTTATTAAAGATATATTAAAGTTCTCAGTCAGTGAGTGATTTTCTCCTTGTGTTTTTTTGTTTTTGTTTTATTAACACTAAAGGGATAGTTCCCTCAAAAATGAAAATTGTCTTAATTTACTCTCTCAAGATGTTTTAAACCCGAATAAGTTTCTTTTTTCTTCTGTTGAAAATAAAAGTTATTTTGAATAATGTGGGTAACCGAACAGTTGCTGGTCCCCTTATTGTTTTTTTTATAGGTTCTCTCCTGGAAGTTAATGGGGACCAGCAACTGTTTGGTTACCCACATTAAAAAAAATTTGTCTTTTGTGTTCAGCACAAGGAAGAAATTAATACAGGTTTGGAACAACATTAGAGTGAGTAAATAATGACGGATTTTTTTTTTTTTTTTTTTTTTTTTTTGTGAACTATACCTTTAAGGACAAGCGGCAGTAGGCTACTATTTATTCCTGTCGCTTTTAGACCAGCACGCGACGCGTTTAATATAGACGCATATTACACCAGATATTCTCTCAAATGTTTGCTTTCACTTTAGACATAGACTGTTTATGTACAGTGTGTGTATTTAACAGTATTAGCATAATAAGACTCGAGAGATAACTTAGTCCAGTATTCAGGCGCTGTTTGACAGGCTTCTAGTGCATGTGAGCGTCGGGGGTAATTTATGCGGTCAGGAAAGCGCACGTTAGAACAGCGCATCAGCGCGTGAATTAAATGTTTAACCGGCAAGGCTTGCGCAAATAATGAACTTTTGTGAATTGCAGTGTCCCGTACCTGTTCCTTAACGTGTGATTATGTGTAGGCTACGTCGCGTTGTACAGTTGAGAGACGGAGGCACCAGAACTGAACTGATAGAATGCACTGTAAAACGATACTACGATATTTCTTCAAAAGCAGATCGTGGAGACATTTTAATCGTCCACGATTAAAAATCGTCATATCGCACACCCCTAATTCTGACCTCTCCATTCACATATGTAGTTCATTTGAATCATGTTTCCCGCAGAGAGACACATGCAGCGGATTGGCCGTCTCCTGCAGGCCTCGATGTTTCTGGATTACATGTGGCAGAAAATGCGCATAACAGGCGGCAAAGAGAGGTAAAAACAAGTTCCCAAAACTTCTTGGTTGTGCATTCATTAAATTGTTAGTAGTTTGAATGGGGAAGAATCAGTATCATTGCTCATACTCAAGGTTAAACAGAGGTTATGCATTGAGGAAATCTGATCTTTTGACACACAAGAGGGCATTGCACTGTACAAATATCCTCAAAACTTTGTTGTTAGTCCAAAATGCAGCTCAATGATCAGAAACGGGATAGAAAATTGCCTGTTTTAAAATACAGTGGTTTTTGATGTTAAAAAAGGACCTCATAGAACATAATAAAATATAGAGAGAGAATTAAAAAATGCAGTTCATGACCCTTAAATATTGGTATTAATCTTTGGTTCAAAACTAGTCCTGTATGTTTGTACCAAGAGTGTGAATTATCAAAATGATCAATCTTGTTAGAAAAGAAGTGTTCTCTCACTTTTACTTTTACTTTTACTTTTCCAAGCAATCAGATGTGCCACTTTTTTTTAAATGCTCCCAAAACAGGGACTTATCCAGATTCTCACTGATTTAAACCAGTTAGCAACACGTTTTTCATAATAGACATCATCAGAGTGAAGCAAAACAATAGAGCATTGTTTATTTCCTTGTTGATCTGACTACACTTCTCTAGAATTGAGTGTCTCACGTGAGTCACTGCTCATTTCATATCTTCCAGGAAGTGGGTTTAATCACCATCGTTCTCCCTCACTTTCTTTCAACAAATATTAAACATTCCGCTCAATTATTAAATAAATAATCATTAACATTTTGTTCGTATTTGAGTGATTTCTGAAGGATCGTGCGACACTGAAAACTGGAGTAATGATGCTGAAAATACAGCTTTGATCACGGGACATTTTAAAATATATTATATTAGAAAACAGTTATTTTAAATTGTAATAATATTTCTGTTTTTACTTTATTATGATTTAAAAAAAACATGATAAATATCTGGCACCAGGCAATAATCATGGGGATCAAAAATATGCAGATTATTGAGGAGTTTCTTCTGGATTTAAAGGGGTGGTTTACTGCTTTTCTTTTCGTGGGGTGCAATATAACATGTATTCGTGGTTTTTCTTTATTAAAAAGTCTTATTTTTCATAAACTTCACCTTTATTGTCAGCCGCGCTCTCCTCTGTCCTCGAACGACCTGTTGACTTCCTGATTCTATGAAACCACTCCCTCAGAAACAGGCAGTGGGCTCCGATTGGTTAGTTTGGTCCGGTGTGTTGTGATTGGCTAAACTGTAGTGCACTTTGTCCGGAAAATTCACGCCCATTACCTTTACGGGCGAAGTTGCGTGTGTGTTCCTGCCAAATGTAAATAATGGTGTCGATAGGATACTGCAGTATCAGTTTGAGCCTAGAAAGCGACGATTAAGAGAGGCAAGCAGAACCTCACCAAACGTTTCTGAATGGTTCATTTTTTTATTATTATTATTATTATTATTATTATTATATTCTGTTCTACTATTATTATTATATTATATTATATATTATATTATAATTTCGCAACCCGATCTCACGACCAAGTCGTATGAATTCGACGAATGATTAAAAAGTGGCTAATTCGTAACAATTCATACGACCTCACTCGTACGAATTAATTCGATTTTGCTAAATCGTACATATTTTTAGAATTGGCCAATTCGTATGAATTCGTACGAATGACCTACCCCTGACCCCGCCCCTAAACCTAACCATCACAAGGGTTTAGACAAATTGTACGAATTAGTGCGAGTGAGGTCGTACGAATTAGACACTTTTTAATCATGCGTCAAATTCGTACGAATTGGTCGTGAGATAGTGTTGGAATTTCGATACATAATTTCGTTACTTGAAAATGCTTCTGCTGTTAGCTTTAGAGATACTGTTTTCTCCTGATTAAACATTTAATATAACTGAATAAATGTTTTTTTTTTAAGTTATTGTTTTATCAATATAATGAACAACCGTTTATCTGTTCACAAAACTAAGTTCACTCTTTAGGTGTAGCCTAGATGTGGCAAACCATCCTGTACACTGGTAACAGCAGCTGAAGTTTGCTGTGATTACATAGCCTAACTTTATACACGTTTGTCTTACACAAAATAGCATCAAACTAACTGGCTATATACACAAACAGTGTTGGCACTGGTTTACGTTCTTGATCAAAACGAAAAATAACGTCATATAGTATATATACATTTATAAAATGAGTACATATATTAATTCAGGTCCAAAATGTTTGTACGCGTTTGTCATAGACACGAAATAGCATAACTAAATGGCTATAAAGCCAGCGCTGGCATTTGATAAAACTAAAACATTACGTCTGAAATTATACATGCAAATACATTTAAAATGATTAAGTCTTAGCCTACTTGCAGGTTGTGGCCCAACAACTGCTGTCTCTGGTTTTAAAGTTGGAACTGCTTCATGTTTTAGTAAAAGTGTCTTGTTGAATCCGGTGTTGAGTTCGTGGAGATTCTGGAAGCTGTCTTCCGTAAAATGCGCGGCACAAAGAGCTAGATTACGATCGTCGTTTTCAGGAACATAATCAAACATAAATTATATCCATTGTTGGCGAACTACAGAAATATGGCCATGCCCTTTTTTGCATATTGCGTAGGGAGGGTTGATGTAAATGAATGGGTTAGTGACGTATAAAACCCGTTGTAGTCCCAATCGAGTCGTTTTTGTAGGCATTATACTTCCTGATTTTTAAAAGACGATATCTCTGCTTACGTTGAACCTTCAGCGCTGCAACTTTGCAGATACTGTTCATGCACCAACAGCAACATTACACACTATTTAAATAAAAAAAAAAGTGAAATCGCAGTCAACCCCAACTTTAACGCAGAAATCGTATTGTTTACATATTTTACCATGTTTCATTCAGATGTCAAATGCAGTTTAATCTCTTTTATCCCCAGTCATTCATTTGAAAGTATATTCACTATATCACGTTTTACAGTTGGTCTGCTTTTATGCTTTTGTTTTCTAGTGTGAACTTAGACGAGGATGAGATGGATACCAGTCCTCAGTCCATATTCATCATAGACAAGCAACCAATGGAGATGACAGACACTCGAGCATCTCAGCAGCAACCGGAAGAGGACGAGGAAGAGGACGATTTGGAGGATTCAGGAAACAGTGTGGAGCTTCTTGATGAAGGTGTCAGCACGTCTAAAAGTGCTCATGTGAATCGCAAGAAACCCAACGGGGTGAATAGAGGCGCAGAGGGAGGTCATGTGTCCAGTGAGGAGAGCGAAGATGAAGATGAAGTCATGGAAATTTCCACCAAGTCTCAGCCCAACACATTTACAGGTTCTGCCCTTTGCAAAACAGCAACTATAAGATGATTGGCTGCTGTAGCTGTCAATCACAAGCCATTTTATTCAGTACTGTATATTGAATTGATGGACCATTTCTGAATATTCTGATTCATCCACATATTGTTGCTTAAAAAAAGCGGTTACCTGTTTATCACCACACCAAATGCAAAAAATGTAATTTTTAATGGATTTTTTTTTATCCTTCAAATAAATAACGATCATATCTCTTGAACTGTTTTTACTCAATATAGCTATATAAAGTATTTAAATGCAGTGTAAAGTTTAATATCATTGTTTTAGTGGACTTGATAAAAATAAGTTCAGAGTACTCATTACTATTGTTTTTATAAACTTAATTGAATTGAGGCAATCGGTTTCCTCAAGTGAAATGAGTTCGCTTAACTTGTTAGGTTTTACAGTGTGGAAAAGAAAAATAGATTGTATCACTTCTTGGATTTAAGTTAATTACACATTAATCGAATTACAATCTTTTTTTGGAAGCTAATGAGAAACATTTAAGAATAGAAATAAATATTCAAATTAATACTAATTTTGGATGATTTGGACAATTTTACATATCAAATTCAAAATAATTTACCAAAAAGTAATTTAAAAACGCATTAAAACCCATTGAAACTTTGAATAGTGTACTTTATTTTATCTTTGTTGTAAGTGTTTTCTGTGGTGATGGACAATGTCACATTCCACACAACTTGTTCATCACAGAATACACCTTCTGTGAAATGTGACATTGTGCCTTACTGAACTTCTAGCACTGTTAAAACAAACTTGACCCTTCATGCTCTTGCTATAATAGTGCGTACTGAGTCCTTTGAATGATGTCGTGGCTTGTTCCCACATCAGTTTTTCTGAAACGTTTCGTATCTTGTGCAAACAGTGAGGTGTGTGAGCACTGCTTAATCCAGTATTGAATGATGGGCATCCCAGATTGCTGCAAGTGTTGGATACACATTGCGCATGTGTGACGCAAGGCTGCAGCTTTTATGCAATACTCTTTCCTTCTTTACCGAATACCAACTACACCTCTCTCTCTTGAGTTGATCTTGATGTTTGCATTCTAGTTAACACTGACGAGATTTGTCTGTTCTCTCTGAGAGAACGCAGCGACTCAGACGTCCCATTGTGCAGATCAGGATTTAGGATTTTTGACCAATGACATTTCGCTGTGAAACACGGCTACAGGATGTCAGAAACAAATAAAACGTTTCACTTGTATCAGTCACACCTGGTTACGCAGTAATATACCCAGATTTACACTGAGATTTAGCTTCTTTCTCTTTGTGCCAGATTAAAACACTGCAGTTTTGACTGCCTGACTTATCTAATCAGGTTTGCGGTTTTAAATATTTACTTTGGTTATTTAAATATGCATGCAAAAAAAAACTGAAGCCAGCTTTTTATTCTAATTCAAGGGTGTCCAATTCTGCTCCTAAAGAGTTGCTCCGACACACTTGCCTGAACATTTTCTGAAGGCCTTGAAAAGCTAGTTCAGGTGTGTTCACTACTAATCGTGATAACTGATCTCTGGTGAATTTGGTACTTTAAAACGATTTTATTAAATTATCTGGTGTAAACAAGATTACTGCTTGTGTTCATTGGAACGGGCAGTATATCGTGAGCTTAGAATTATAAGGTTCTATCTCCAATTTTGGTCGAAATTGAGTTTTTGACATAATCTGATCCATTAGATGTTTATTAATGCCTGTTATTTTTGTAAAAAAAAAAAAAAGATTAATAGATAAAGCTATAATAGAAGATTATACTACATAACAGTTTTGCCAGCTGGGAAAACCTTGATGCTCAATATCTCAGAACTACCCTAAACGGAGATAGAACCTTATAATTCTAAGCTCACGATATATCGATACTCGAAACCATGATTGGCTATGCAACGATTGGCTGGTGGCAGCTTGGCAAGACGATCATATTGAAAAAGCCACCTGAAGAAAAACTTTGCATTTCTGGACCTTTATGAGGAAACAGCCAAGCGTCCAAAACGACCAAAGCCTTTTTCCCATAGACATATACACTAGATGTCACCTTGGGGTTCTAAGGATGCGTCAAAACCGCCGCCATCTTGGAACGGGTCTTGTCATAGGAAGTGTAACGCTGCTATCTCTGCCTTTACTTCGAATTAGTTGATGGAGGCGGACTTTTGTGCTGTGTATGATGTTCACACGAATGATATCTGAACTAGGAAGAATGTTTAAAAAAAAAAAATCTGGAATCAAATATAAATACATGTCTGACCGTTGGAATGAACCAAAAAAATGAGAAAATCGCATTCATGATGATTTGTTAGATGCTGATGCATTAAAGTGGAGGGGGTCTCCTGTACCAAGATGGCGGCTCTATTGACGCATTTGTTCTGAACTGCCGTAGCCAAGGCGACGACTAATGTATATATCTATGCCTTTTCCCGAGCAGGTTTAGGTTTACGGACCTGTTGCCATGGCAGCAGCTTCGGCGAACCAAACAATCCTGGATCATGTCAAATCACCAACAGTAAAATCCAGATAACGGAGTAATCCAAATAAGAAGAATGGCCCCAGGAGGAGACACCCCCGATTTAAAACCATAATAATAATATACTTGTAATTATTATAAGTAACTTTCGGTTCCAACCCTGCTCCAACACACATGCCTGTTATGTTCACGTAAACCTGAACTCCTCGGTTAACCGGTTCACGTGTATTGAATTAGGATTTGAGTTAAACTCTGCAAGAAGGTTGTCCTCCAAGAGCAGGATTTGAAATCAATGACCCCTGGAGAAAATAACTATAGGACAACAATTTTATTAGATTCTCTCAAGAGTGTACAACGTATAATATGTCAAGATATGCAATGCATAAAAGGTACAAGTTATATTTTCCACTATGGAAAGTTTTTTTCTTCAAAAAACAATAACTAAGAAAGACCTAAATCTTGGATAAATATTCTGTTGAAGATTGGAATACATTTTCTGTGCCTGATCCAAAGAGCAGCATCTCCAGTAGATTATCATTTGTAACATACATAATATTCTGTTCCAAGAATGAGAACTAGACTTAATTCTAATCTGTCCATCAAGTCCACCACATTATTATCACACAAGTGTTTTTGGTAATTAAATTAACTCTTGTTCTCCCCAAACATGTAACCAAAAGTACTGGACATTGCAGTGAGGTGACCTAACTGGTTCTTTGCAGGTTTTGGCGTGTAACGGTGGTGCAGCGTTTTAGTATCTCCTGAGCTTGGGGTCTGGGTGGCATCTTGGGGGTGGAGGGTATCTTGTTGAGACTGGGGTCTGATCGGCTGCTGGTCATCTTGCCTTCTGTGGGACTTTCAACGCTCAGGCTGCGAGAAGACTCAACCATAGGGGTGCGACTGTGGCGGAACTGCTGTTCTGCGTCCGAACGATTCAGCGAATCGCTGCCCGAGAAGCTGCTTTCATCGCTGAACACTTCGCTGTCCTCACTCATACTTCTTTGCTGACCGTTCTCTGCAAATTGCACTCTGATTGATGGAGTCAGCCATGTCGTACGAGCATCCGGCAGCCTACCCATTGAACGTGACATTAGCTTATCTTTAGGGTCCAGGGTGCTTCCTGGAAGTAGATACAGGTTGCCCTGGGATCTGCTGAGCTTTCGGTCAGAACCCTGCAGGGAATTGTCTCCAGTGTGTCTAAGCCGTGCTAAGTCAAGAGTGGAGCTGGTCATCTCCCTCTGAGCGGGCATCATGCGAATCCTTGGGTTATTGTACGGTTGCAGGTACATAGATGGTGCAAAGCCCGCCTTTCGATTGTACCTGAGGGGATTGAGAAAAATTGTTGTTAATTGTTGAGGATTGGGTACTGGATAGCAGTGTTGTAGTCGAGACCACCTCACTCGAGTCCGAGTCGACACCGAGACCAGAGAGAGTCGAGTCCGAGTCAAGACCGAGTCCATAGAGAGTCGAGTCCGAGACCAGAGACGGTCGAGTCCGAGTCGAGACCGAGACCAGTGAGGGTTGATTACCTAATTTACTTTTATTTACTTTTATTTATTTTTTTTACTGAATTTACTTAGTTTAATAAATCAGTTTAGGGTAAAAAGGCCACATAGTAGGTGGTGTTAAAAGTAATTTTATTACAATTTGTCATGCGCAGTTGCGCACTAGAAAATCACCAATCACTGGGCGTGTCAATCAATTTAAAGAAATATTTTATTAACATACATTAATAATCATGAAAAATATTTTGAATTGAACTCGAGTGGACTCGGGAATAAGTCCGAGTCCTAAAAAAAAAAAATGTTCGAGTACGAGTCAATTCCGAGTCCAAATGGACACGAGTCCATAACAAGACCAAGACCATTAAAATATGGTCTCGAGACCGAGTCCGAGACGAGTCCGAGTCTCGAGTACTACAACACTGCTGGGTAGGTCAAGTTCTTTCAGTGGTAGTGAACAAGGAAGAAGCATAGGCAACGTCAGTCCTAGAGAGCCACTGTCCTGCCGAGTTTAGCTCCCACCCTGAAAAAAATACTCAATGGCTTAGTAATCCTGAAAACCGTGATTAGCTTGTTCCGGTGTGTTTGATAAGGGTAGGCGGCGGCGCTAAACTCTACAAGACAGCTGATCTCTAGGACTGACGTTGCCTCCCCCTGCACTGCAAAAACTAGGATGTAAAGCAAGTGCCAAGTTTCCCCAAGCTTCATCTACATGACACACCAGCAGGTAAAACATTCCTGCCCGTTAGATAACTGGTGTTTATTTCAGCTGGTTACATCTGCTCGTTTTCAGGAAGAAAACAATATTGAGATTTACCTTACTATCCACCAGCCATTGTCAGACTTCTGTAACACCTCCACCACAGACCCAATCTCGACTGATATCTCATCGCTGTTTGTGGCTTTGAAACTTTTGGCAGCAACATAGAAAACACCTGAAAAAGGGAAACATAATAAGATTTGTTTGTGAAGATTTGTAAGAATCCTGCAGAGTTTAGCTCCAGTCCTAATAAAACAGCTAATCAAGGTTTTGGGATTTGGAAGCCTAGTTCACACGACATGATTCTCAAACGTCGGGTCACACTACATGACTTGCTCTCTGTGAAATCAGGAGTGTTCAAGTTGTTGAGTTGTTCACACCACACGACACAACGTGATTGATCCGCAACAGGAGGTAACGCACTACACCAGTTGACAACTCAGTCACTCAACGATTCTATCTTGTCTACAAACCACGTTTTGTCGCGAAAAACCACGCGATAAAACAAACCGTAAATTACGTGAAACAGCGCGCCCGCCAATACCCAGCGAAGAAGACGAAGAAAACAACGTGCGAATATGGACGTCAGACAGAAACTAGTGCTGCAAATGGTTTGTGCGATGATTTGCTCTGAGAAAAAAATGCAAAAAAAAGAAAAAATAAGATTTAC